TCTTTTCATATAAATAATGACTGCACAAGCATGGACACAAGGAATACGGGTTACGTCCCAAGCTCGGCAAGTGCATGTTCTATTCTCCAAATCAACGCGAGTGGTTCTATGTGATTGCACTTCGAAAATATCATCTCTAGATTGCCTAATCTCTAAAGTGTGCCCTTTTTCCATATTTTCCCTAACAATCTTCTCAGCTTTAGGACAAAGATAGCTTGTCCACTTACACGCCATTATCCGTCTGTTGTTCATGCGAGTCATAAGTTGTTTTCGGATATGCTCCACCATTTGCAGGATACGTAACAAACGGGCTTCACGTATCCAGCTGTTAAAGGATTCTGCGACATTAGAGGTTACATGGCCATATCTGCAAAGGTCAACATTTAGAAAGTATGATGGGCATATAATATGTTATCTTCTTAACAAGTGACCATAAAACTTAACCTATACTGCTAAAGGCTAACATAAAAACATCATAGTTAACATATATTGGTTAAAGTTAACATATATCAGCGAAGGTTAACCTATAAAAAGGATACTTCACATATATGCATAACAGTTAACATCAACCGCAAAACGTCATAATGATTGAATGCATACCTAATGCCAGGGAAGAAGGCATTTGCCCAATGCTCTGGCGAGTAATTAATTCCAATCTCATATGTGGCTGGAGCCATCTCATAAATTTCCTTCATGTAGTCGTTCCATTCCGCTATAGTGTATTTATAGCAAGCAGTTTGGAGCAAATTCCCCAAAACCTGTGTGTCCTTTGCCTTCATTCCCAAATCCTTGAGCTTTGATCTAAAATTTTCAACTAGATACAGAACGCAGCGTGAGTGAATTGCTTCAGGGAAATATTCTCTCACGGCTTCTCGAATCCCCTTGTCGGCATCAGAAATAATTACCAATTGGTGGGGGGATTGTACGGGTCCAACCTTTCATACAGTATGGACCACAGGCCTTGTAGGAACCATCTCCAATTATCAACATTTTCTTGATCACATATACAATACGCAAGTGGAAATATCCCTTGGTCTCCATCGTAGGCTATAGCGCTCAGGAGCATGCCTTTATATCTATCTTTCAAAAAGGTCCCATCCAAAAATAAAAGGGGTCTACAGCCATTTAAGAAACCCTGGATGCAAGCAGCATAACATATAAACAGTCTTCTGAACCTTCCTTCATTCTGGTCAATGCAAATGTAGCTTCCTGGATTCGTTTGCTTCAACATTTGCTCATACCTGTACAACAATGCCGCTTCTGGACATGTAAATAAATATAATACATTGGAACATAAGGGTAACATATTAACATTAAAGCGGCTACGATAAACATTTGCACACAAGTTATAAATTAACTGTAATATTTACCATCTTAATTGATCATAAGCCTCATAGCTATCACCATACATATCCTGTTGCGCTCTTTCTTTGCCCCACCATATCTTACTGTATTCAAGTCTCAATCCAAAACGAGTGAGGAAGTCCTTTTGCACATCAATTGGGCGGATTTCAGGTCGTGCCTTTAATACCGGTCGCAATTGGGCTGCTATGAACTTGCGAGATGCCCGTGATTGCCCTGACAAGCTAGAATGTTGTCCGCAACTGTGTTCATTCACAAACCTTTTGATTTCCATTCTTTTATCATTTTTAACAGGAGCTGCATAGAGCATCCAAGGGCATCCATACGTCTCCTTATATCGACAACAAACACGGATACATTTGGGTTCATTCTTTAGAAATTCATATTCAAATTTTTTGGCCATGGAATAGTATTGCAAAGCTAGTCTCAATTCAGTTACGGTTTCAAATTGTTGCCCATTTTCAGTTAATGCTGTGTGCCACCATTGATGAATGCTCGAAGTGTTATTGAGAATATCATCAACCCTCATTACAATCTCACCAGACGGAAAATCAGTTTGGATTCTCTCTGAATTGGATGCATTTCCTGGAGTAGGACAACTATAATCTGAATTCAAATAGGCATCCCTGTTGCACAATTTAATCAAACAGTGAGATATCCTGCACACTATGTCAAATAATCTTCTTATAACTTAAGTTACCAGCACTATGATGAAAGTTAACAATATGCATGGTTAACACAGCACACCAAAAGTTAACTAACTGGGTGTAAATTTAACCATTTTGATTAAAACTTAACATAGAGCAGTGGAATTTAACAGACAATGGACATAGTTAACACATAAATACGAAAGTTAACATGTTCAAGAAAAGTATAACATGTTCCAATGAGAGTTAACATGTTCATATAATAGTTAACATATATCTTAGATAATTAACCTGTAAACTTGCACCTTATCCTTATCCTCCTCACTAGCCACAGCTTTCCCCTCTTTGTCAACCTCCATCTCTTGCCATTCCTCCTTCGCTGCCTCCTTCTCTTCCTCTTTCTTCTCCATCTCTTGCTCTTCCTCTTTCTTCTCATCTTCTCTCTCTTCCTCTTTCTTCTCCATCTCTTGCTCTTCCTCTTTCTTCTCATCTTCTCTCTCTTCCTCTTTCTTCTCCTCCTTGCTATGCATGACTTTCTCCACATACGCAACCTCCATTTCTTGACATTCACCTTTCTCTGCCTCCTTCTCTGTTTGCGCAACAGCCTCGGCAATATGAGAAGCTTCCTTGCCAATGTTCGATACATAGTCATAATCAAAACAATTTCCATCATCACCCATATCACCCCTATCATTAGAATCAAAACTCTTTCTTATTTTCCTCTGTGCATACCCTTTATGCCTATTATTTTGTGACATAAGTTCCCTCACATTTTTCTTCAGGTCTTAGGGGTCAATCAAGTCTTCGACCCCTTCATAGCGCTCCAATTTATCACTCATATCATTAGAATCAACACTCTTTCTTCTTTTCCTCAGTGCATACCCTTTATGCCTATCACTTTGTGACATAAGTTCCCTCACATTTTTCTTCAGGTCTTCGGGGTCAATCAAGTCTTCGACCCCTTCATAGCGCTCCAATTTATTGTTCAACCTATGTATCTCCTGGGAGCAAGCATCCCATTGAAGGCGCTTGCTACGCTTGACAGCGTGGAGCAATTTCCAATTTATATTGGTCGTATTCCTCCAAAAATGAATTTGCTCTATAGGCGTCAACTTATCTATTTCATCTTCTCTTGAAAAAGCATCAGCGATATGCTGGGACAAAATCTGTAAAGTACACCATATACCCTTTACCCTTGTAAATCCACAAGATTAAGCAGAATAGTTATGAAAACCCATAAAAGAAAGTTAACATGAAACAATGCAAATTGAAAATGAATTAATGATAACGATAAAATATTTAACTCAATGTAAATATGCTATGATGTGTAAAGAGTCATTGCTGCTTACGTAACCCACAGATGAGCTCTTTGGTCTGCCCATCACCTTCTCTTGCTTCCCAGCCTTCTGCTTTTCTTCCTCGTTCATCTTTCTCGGCCTAGTTTGCTCTTTGGTCAGCCCATTACTCCTTTTTTTCTCTTGCTTCCCAGATGGGAATCAGCTATCTGCAATGATTTTTAGACAACCTACACTTCTATTTTTCCCAAAGCGAGTGAATTCAATCTTCTTCCTGCTGGGCTCCCTTTGAGGGTATTTTTCACCCCATCCAATGCTGAGTGAAATTGGTTTCTCCTCAAGTTTTATGCTTGCTTTCTTGGCCTTAGAGACGATTGTCTCCATCCTCAGCGATCCAGCCGTCCCTCCGACCCTTACCCAGTTGGTCATCGGAGGCTTCCACCTCAAGTTTAGGGCTGGTTTTTTAATGCCAGCCATCTCAAAGTACCAAAACTGTCAGAATAGAAGGATCAATTGTCAAAATAATTAACTTGCATAACTCTTTCTTGAACTACAACATACTAAATAGCTAGCCTTCACTTCACTAACCCATGTTAACATTACTGGGTACATGTTACCTTTCACTTATTAATGTTAACTTTAATTTTTATATGTTAAAGTTTATGTTAACATGTTAACTTTCACCTATTAATGTTAACTTTTACTTTTATATGTCAAACTTCATGTTAACATGTTGATTTTATCCATAACCTGTTAACGTTCAATGTTGTACATGTTTTCTAATGTCTGTTACCATGACTCCTATTAACTAGATCAAATGTCAAGCCAGATGATCATGCAACATACAGGGATGAGCGGCATGCATCCAGGTACGTATGTAACCCCTGGCTTCCTCATCCCTTGAACAGCAATTTGAATGCCTCTCTTCGTCTCATCAAAAATAAATTTACCCCACGCAATGGTCTTCACTCTCTCGATACTATCTACATATTGAAACAATTGTCTTGGGATGCCTTGAGAGCTGTTGGGGCACCAAATCGTTGCACATTGGTACAATATCTGAAGCAACACAAAATCCTCAATGTCCTTATTATCAGAGGACTCAACAAGTGTTTCCAGCAACTCCTCGACATATCTCATCATGCTACCAGCTTCTGGTGTAGCCTTGGCCTTTGCCTTTGCCTTTGGCTTGGCCTTTAGCATTTCTTTCTTATCTTCAAAGTATTGCCTCCAAAGTCGGTTGTGAGAGTCTCTATTCCCGTAGATCAGCTCCCCATCAATGGGAAAGCCTGTGTGAGTATGCACCCACTCTTCATCAAATTTCACTGAAAATATAGAACCGCTCTTGGGGTTGGGAAAAGAGAACTCAACATTCTAACTTGTCAGGGCAATCACGGGCATCTCGCAAGTTCATAGCAGCCCAATTGCGACCGGTATTAAAGGCACGACCTGAAATCCGCCCAATTGATGTGCAAAAGGACTTCCTCACTCGTTTTGGATTGAGACTTGAATACAGTAAGATATGGTGGGGCAAAGAAAGAGCGCAACAGGATATGTATGGTGATAGCTATGAGGCTTATGATCAATTAAGATGGTAAATATTACAGTTAATTTATAACTTGTGTGCAAATGTTTATCGTAGCCGCTTTAATGTTAATATGTTACCCTTATGTTCCAATGTATTATATTTATTTACATGTCCAGAAGCGGCATTGTTGTACAGGTATGAGCAAATGTTGAAGCAAACGAATCCAGGAAGCTACATTTGCATTGACCAGAATGAAGGTTCAGAAGACTGTTTATATGTTATGCTGCTTGCATCCAGGGTTTCTTAAATGGGTGTAGACCCCTTTTATTTTTGGATGAGACCTTTTTGAAAGACAGATATAAAGGCATGCTTCTGAGCGCCATAGCCTACGACGGAGACCAAGGGATATTTCCACTTGCGTATTGTATATGTGATCAAGAAAATGTTGATAATTGGAGATGGTTCCTACAAGGCCTGTGGTCCATACTGTATGAAAGGTTGGACCCGTACAATCCCCCCACCAATTGGTAATTATTTCTGATGCCGACAAGGGGATTCGAGAAGCCGTGAGAGAATATTTCCCTGAAGCAATTCACTCACGCTGCGTTCTGTATCTAGTTGAAAATTTTAGATCAAAGCTCAAGGATTTGGGAATGAAGGCAAAGGACACACAGGTTTTGGGGAATTTGCTCCAAACTGCTTGCTATAAATACACTATAGCGGAATGGAACGACTACATGAAGGAAATTTATGAGATGGCTCCAGCCACATATGAGATTGGAATTAATTACTCGCCAGAGCATTGGGCAAATGCCTTCTTCCCTGGCATTAGGTATGCATTCAATCATTATGACGTTTTGCGGTTGATGTTAACTGTTATGCATATATGTGAAGTATCCTTTTTATAGGTTAACCTTCGCTGATATATGTTAACTTTAACCAATATATGTTAACTATGATGTTTTTATGTTAGCCTTTAGCAGTATAGGTTAAGTTTTATGGTCACTTGTTAAGAAGATAACATATTATATGCCCATCATACTTTCTAAATGTTGACCTTTGCAGATATGGCCATGTAACCTCTAATGTCGCAGAATCCTTTAACAGCTGGATACGTGAAGCCCGTTTGTTACGTATCCTGCAAATGGTGGAGCATATCCGAAAACAACTTATGACTCGCATGAACAACAGACGGATAATGGCGTGTAAGTGGACAAGCTATCTTTGTCCTAAAGCTGAGAAGATTGTTAGGGAAAATATGGAAAAAGGGCACACTTTAGAGATTAGGCAATCTAGAGATGATATTTTCGAAGTGCAATCACATAGAACCACTCGCGTTGATTTGGAGAATAGAACATGCACTTGCCGAGCTTGGGACGTAACCCGTATTCCTTGTGTCCATGCTTGTGCAGCCATTATTTATATGAAAAGAGATGTATATCAATATTGTGATTGGTTCATGTCCGTAGAAGCGTTTAAGAAGAGCTACGACGAAATATTATATCCCATACCAGACTATGAGAAGCGGAGTGTGCCCAAGGATGAAATCCAGATTTTGCCACCACTTACCACTAAGAGGAGGGGAAGAAATAGAACAAGACGCATAAACAACAGAACCATATACAAACGGCCCGTCAAATGTTCTCGGTGCAAAGTTGAAGGTCACAATAGAGCAACCTGCAATGAGCCCATCCGTGACTAGTGTGTTTCAGCTTCTAACAACAATACTTTTGTATGAGACATATAGATGGTTTTAAAGTTGTACTTAACAACTTTAAAACCATCTATATGTCTCATACAAAAGTATTGTTGTTAGAAGCTGAAACAAGACGCATAAACAACAATACTTTTGTATGAGACATATAGATGGTTTTAAAGTTGTTAAGTACAACTTTAAAACCATCTATATGTCTCATACAAAAGTATTGTTGTTAGAAGCTGAAACAAGACGCATAAACAACAATACTTTTGTATGAGACATATAGATGGTTTTAAAGTTGTTAAGTATATAGCGTTGTACTTTTGTAATCTGTGATAATGCCTGTTAGATTCATTTTGTTCATGCTGTTAATAGAAACTGCAAGCATGAGAGACATTTTCAGATCTTCACCTGTCATGTCAAGATTTTGAGTTTAAATAGGTGACTTCTCCAACATATGAGTCACTGTTCTAACGGCTAGCAACCAGTCATTTCAAACAGCCATATTCCAACGGCTAGTAAGTTGATCCTTAAGCAATATAAAATGTGCACATAGGAAAGTTATAAGCTTAATAGAAGTTCTAACTTTCCCTTCATTCCCTCTTGAGATTGCGAGATGAAAACGTCAGAGGGTTCTCAGTCATGGGAAGAGGTATGTTGTTTTTGTAACATTCCAACACCCATGAAGCAGTACAAAAATGGGAGGAACAAGGGTAGATTCTTCTGGGGATGTGCAAATTTCCCAAAGAGCCAATATAAGTTTTTCGCTTGGGCTCACAGTGAAGATGCAATGGTAAGTAGCAATATTCCAGATTGCCCAGAAGTCCTCGTTGAAGATGATATGGCGGTCAAGGCAAAGCAGTTGAAGAAAGCACTGAAGCAAGCAAACCGCGAAGTTGAAAAATGGAAACTTTGTTCTTTCTTCATGTGTTGTTTTTGTATGGTTCTAATATCCATCATCTTTGTCATCTCTAACTGAATTTGGTTAAGTATCACGTGTATATGTTAATGTTTACTATAAATGGTTAAGTTTCAGAGCTATATGTTAACTCTAACTGATATATGTCAAGTTTTAGAGCTACATGTTAACTATTTCTGATAGTGGTTAAGTTTCAGAGCTACAGGTTAACTTTTATTGGAAGTAGTTAACTTTCAGCGCTATATGTTATCTTTCATACTTATATGGCAGCCAATGCAAGTTTTGTGTCGGAACATCAGTGACATATACTATCATCCCTTATCATCCTTGTTATGTATTGCATTCCAAACATTTTAGCAACAAAGATTCCGCTGTCTACCAGTTAAACAACCAGTTTCTTACATCTCCTCATCCAACCTACCCACCAGTTAAATAAAAAGTTTTGATACCACATAACATCTCTAACTAGCAACCAGTTTCTGGACCTTTCCCTAGTTATACATCTGTTCTAATATGCCTGTTAGTTTTGCCCCCACAACAATATGCACAATACATAACTGTTTCTGACATCATTCACCCATCCTTTTGTAGCCCATCCACGTAATTTTTCTGTTCCCATCCTTCAATTAGGAGTTCAGCTGCAAGCTTGGCACGGATGACGTCGGCCTCGTCAGCGGGATTAGTTACCTGACTGGTATCAGTCCCTTGTATTATAGCCGTTATATATAAAGGAACGAAAAGCCCACAATCATACCTACATCATATACATTGGAAAGATAGTTAGATATTTGATGCTGAATAAAATGAAAATGTTTAAGTGTGTGAAACACTAACATTCCTCGCTGTTGCTCGCAAGGGACGGCTTCATATCGGTACTTCTTCCAAACATTATTGGGATCAAAACCAGCCTTCATGTGATCCATGAAATCAATTACTTTATTTACTGGCTCCAAGTATGCACTGTGGCCTGCAGAGCTGTAATGCCTGATAACATCCTCGTCCAACCTTACTTCAACAACATGCCAGTGGTCATGCCGCACGAGCGGGATAAGGAGTACTGATTTTTTTGCGGCGACATGCTTTTGTATGAACGAGGTGTATAAATGTGCATAGTCTGGGTTCACTGCATAAATGCTATGTTGTATTGCCAAGCAAATAATGATAAGCCATTTGTAAACAGGAGTTAAAAAACATTGGGAGTTTGAAGCTAATGCTTACGCAGAAAAATGCTGACACGACCCCATATTTCATGCCAACAGAAGCAATTTCTGGCCTCTCTAGCCATGAGCTGAGCCTATCCACAAGAGCTTCCATGACCTGTTAACAGAAGATGCAAATTAGATTGCATAACATCTCAACATGCAGTAAATCCAAGTATTGCGTAAAAGATTAACATATTGAGAGTAGCATATTGAACTTGCATGGTCATCGATACGCCCTCCACGTAGAAGATACAGAAGCTCCGTTGAATCAACGCTGCTGTTCAATGTCTTAACAATACTACGTGACCTGAAACATAACAATAAGATCCAAATTTTAACATAAACCAGGCTATATGTTAACTGGATTTGCAAATATAAACATGATTTGGCAAACGTTGGCACAAACAGGTATAAGTTAACATAAACCTATAATCATTAACATGTAACTATGAAAGTTAACATAAACCTATAATCATTAACATGTAACAATAAAAGTTAACATAATGTAGCCACGGTTAATCAGAATGTCTAAACTTACTGATGGGCTGTTTCATTGCAGAACTGAGAGAGCCATCTGTTCTCATCTGGTGTGAGCTTTGCTGCTATATGCTGAGGCACTCTATAGTTGTGAACGAAGGTTCCTTCACTATCAATCACACGTATGCTAAAATCATCAACGTTGGGAATACCCTCGTTTAGCAACTTCAATAGAGCCTCCTCCTTCTTCTTGATTTTCCTCTTCCCAAGAATATCCCAAGTGCATTCATCAGGCTTACAATAGAACCTGATTTTCTCCCTCTCTTCATCCTTGTGTGGTGATATATTAATTATTTCTGGACGACCGTCCTTCTTCTTTCCTTCAGTGAAAGGGGTTCGGACTAGATGTGAGCGAGTCCTCTTTCTGGTACTTGGTCCCCTAATACCCCTTGACACAAGTTTTTTCTTCCCTCTTTCCGATAAAACTGACCTTTCTATCCCTCCCTTTTTCCCCCTTAATCCCCCCCTCCGTACTAGCACAGCTTATCCCTCTTTGTCAACCTCCATCTCTTGCCATTCCTCCTTCGCTGCCTCCTTCTCTTCCTCTTTCTTCTCCATCTTCTTGCTCTTCTCTTTTCTGTCATTCTTCCTCTCTTCCTCTTTCTTCTCCATCTCTTGCTCTTCCTCTTTCTTCTCATCTTCTCTCTCTTCCTCTTTCTTTCGTCCTCTTGCTATGCACGCGCCTTTCTCCACATACGCAACCTCCATTTTCTTGACATTCACCTTTCGCTGCCCTCCTTCTCTTGTTTGCGCAACCAGCCTCGGCAATATGAGAAGCTTCTGCCAATTGTTCGATACATATCATAATCAAAACAATTTTCCATCATCCCCATATCACCCCTATCATTAGAATCAACACTCTTTCTTCTGTTTGCCTCATTGCATACCCTTTATGCCTATCACGTTTTGTGACATAAGTTCCCTCACATTTTCTTCAGGTCTTCGGGTCAATCAAGTCTTCGACCCTCATAGGCCATTTATTGTATCAACCTATAGTTCTCCTGGGAGCAAGCATCCCATGAAGGCGCTTGCTACGCTTGACAGCCGTGGAGCAATTTCCAATTTTATATTGGCCTATTCTCCAAAATGAATTTGCTCTTCTTTATACAGGCGCTCAACTATATCTATTTCATCTTCTCCTTGAAAAAGAATCAGCGATATGCTGGGCAAAATCTGTAAAGTACACCTATTACCTTTTACCCTTGTTAAATCCACAAGATAAGCAGATAGTTATGAACCCTAAAAAGAAGTTAACATGAACAATGCAAATTGAAAATGAAATTAATGATTAACGATAATATTTAACTCAATGATAAATCATGCCTGTGATTGTAAAGAGTCATTGCTGCTTTCTACGTAACCACAGATGAGCTCCTTTGGTTCTGGCCCATCACCGTTTCATTGCCTTCCAGCCTTCTGACTTTTATCCTCGTTCATCTTCTCGCCTAGTTTTGCTCTTTGGTCAGCCCATTACTTCTTTTTTTCTCTTCTTCGCCAGACGTTGGGCTTGTTAGTTATTTTCCCAAAGCTGAGTGAATTCAATCTTCTTCCGCTGGCTCCCTGAGGGTATTTTTCACCCCATCAATAGCTGGTGATAATTGGTTCTCCTCAAGTTTTATGGCTTGCTTCTTGGCCTTAGAGAGATTGTATCCATCCTCAGCCGATCTCAGCCGTCCGCTCCCCTTACCCAGTTTGGTCACGAGGCTTCCACCCTCAAGTTTAGGGCTGGTTTTTTATAGCCAGCATCTCAAGTACCACACACTGTCAGAAGTAGAAGGATCAATTGTCAAAATAATTAACTTGATAACTCTTTCTTGAACTACAACATACTAATAGCTAGCCTCACTTCACTAACCCATGTTAACATTATTGGGTACATGTTACCTTCACTTATTAATGTTAACTTTAATTTTTATATGTTTAAATTTATGTATAACATGTTAACCTTTCATTCTATTAATGCTAACTTACTTTATATGTCAAAACTTCAGTTTAACATGTTGATTTTAACATTGTTTACTATTAACATCCAATGTGGTACATTGTTTTTCTAATGGCCTGTTACCATGACTCCTATTAACTAGATCAAATTTACATACAGGGCATGAGCGGTGCATCCAGGTACGTATGTAACTCCTGGCTTTCCTCATCCTGTTGAACAGGCAATTGAATGCTCTCTCCCTTCCCCGTCTCATCCAAAAAAATTTAGCCACGCAATCGTCTTCATCTCTTCGATACTATCTACATATTGATAACAATTGTCTTGGATGCCTTAGAGAGCTGTTGGGCACAAATCGTTGCACATTGGTACAATATATCTGAAAGCAACACAAAATTCCTCAATGTCCTTATTATCAGAGGACTCAACAAGTTGTTTCCAGCAACTACCTCGACATATCTCATCATGCTACCAGCTTCTGGTGTAGCCTTGGCCTTTGCTTTGCCTTTGGCTTGGCCTTTAGCATTTCTTTCTTATCTTCAAAGTATTGCCTCAAAGTCGTTGTGAGAGTCTCTATTCCCGTAGATCAGGCTCCCATCAATGGGAAAGCCTGTGTGAGTATGCACCACTCTTCATCAAATTTCACTGAAAATATAGAATCGCTCTTGGGGTTGGGAAAAGAGAACTCATCAGTTTCGCCAGTATAATGGCTGAGCACATACTCTAGTGCCCGTCGATCGCGTGCTAGGGGACCAAAGAACACATAGTGCTCAAAGTTACAGCCCTTGTAGGCATCCCAATGCCACTTCTTCAGTTTTGGTTGCAGTTTTTGCATGAAGGAACAATATGTTCCAAGACAGGCACTGGGCCTAATATCACCTAAAGCAGCAACTATCCTGGATGAACAACAGTTTACTCTTAACAAGTGGTTCAACTTTAAATTACGTAACAATCAACAGTAAAGGCATTAACATAGTCAAAATCACGTTTTATTAACATGATTAGCTAAAAGTTGACTCTTAAGAGTAAACGTTGACTCTTAAGAGTAAACGTTAACAACAAACACAGATTATTGACATGCATTGCTACTAGCTATCAACAATTGATAATTGTTTACATGCATTTCTTCCAACCCACAATTAAAATCAATTGATTGGGAACTTACTTCTTCTTTGAGATGGACACATCCTCCCGCGAGCGTCTCCTCTTGCGCTCTCGATTTTCCTGAGTTTTCATGCTCAATAGGGTTTCCATCGCCTCGTTACTCTCCTCATCATCAGAGGATGGCGGAACAGAATCGCTGGCGTGAGATATCAAGGCGGAGGTGGAGGGGGATAAGTTTCGTAGTTCCTCCTGCGCAAGTCGTGCCGACCGACGCCGGGGACGAACGTCCGCTTCCGTTTGAATCTGGTCTACTTCACCCTTGCGTCGTTTAGGGTTATTAGCCATTTCTCTTATAATTTTCTTCGTCATTTTCCTTGTGGATTTCTTCGGCATTTTCTCTTATAATTCTCGTCTAGGGTTTTCAAATTGGGTTCGCAAGGTGAAGGAGGTTCGAGTTTTGGGGATATTTGTGGGTCTGCAGAGAAAAGAGCGAGAGCGAGAGAACGAGAGAAAGAGGGAGGGCGGATTTGGGGACGAACAGTTACAAGGGTAAATTCGTCTTTACAGAGGAACTGTGCTCTCAAAGTTGTCTAGGAAATGACAAAGGGGCTGAAACTTTAATGAGTTGGGTATTTGGGGCTTGATCACACCAAAAAAAATACAGTGGGCTGGGCCACAACCGGTTCTTTTTTGGGGGGCCTTAAAACAATTTTCCCTAATTTTTTTTAGCCTTACAAACTAGACAATTGTCAGAAAAAATAAAACCTTAGATCGTTCCTATTTGCTAATTTAAGAACATTAATTATTCTAGGGAGTGATATTAAAATCTTACTTGCCCACATTGGATAATTAGCAGTAATTCGCTCCTTAAGTTTACTAATTAGAGAACAGTAATAACAATAACCCAAGTAATTACGTGTCCAGTAAACTAAGACATCACATTATGTACGCCAATAAGGAAAAAAAATTCCTAACGAAATAATCATTTCCATTTGACAAATCTCACAATTTTGGTGACTAATCGATCTAATCCATATGCAAACAAGTTTGGCTACTGATTTTCTCTTAATTGGTGGAAAAATGTCTAACTTCTAGTCCAAAATCTTTTAATTAATAAATAAACATTTTCCTACCTTAGACGCCTCCCAAAGCGTACGTTTCTTCTAAGTGATCTGTATCCACGTTTTGCATTAAAAGTCATAATAATATCTTTTAATAATATTTGGATCGTGACATCTTAATTCTTAAGTTAGAATTAGATGTCGAGACGTACGTAGACTAATCAATTCTTTTGGAAAATTGTCTTTTACCCTTCTCAGCATGACTTTTATATATAATGTTTTTTTTTTGAATAACACATAAACGTAGACATAGTTTATATTTGGTACGGGGACTTAAGGTGGGTATCATGGAATTATAAATTGAATGTCACGAGAGAGAAAAATGTACAGGCAGCCTTTGTTGAGATATTGAGCTCTTGAAAAACCATCCATTGCTCCATTTTACAGCTGTGCTAGACAGGGATCACACCATTTGTAGAGTGGTTGCAACTGTAGGTGCATGTGATCAGGTTAATTCCGATCAACTATAATTTTTATTATCACTGCAAACTAATAAATGTATTTACATCCGCAATTACAAAATCCCTCAAGTTATAGAGATGACTTATGCAGATTTGGGTATACGTGACGATTGCAATCTTTTGAGCTACAAATGAACTTAATACTAAGTTATAATTTCAATTGCAATCAATCCCCAACAGAAGTTATAAAATAAAAAAAACTGGTATCTCAAAAGATACATGCATGACGACTAGACTAGATTCTAAACTGTACAAATCAAACAATTGCTAGTACAACTACATGCAACATTAGTTGCTGCAAGCTCACTTACATGCGACCGAGACTCATATTGCTACTACAATTTCGGTGAACTAAAAAAAAATCTATACACTGGAAATAGTTAAGACTTCTGTTTTTCAACTTCAAGGTTTATCTCCTACATTTTCTCCCTTCCACATTTTTTTCTTTTCTTTTGTGGAATTGTATAAATTTTCCACCTTAAAATGCTTGGAATTTGATGTGTGGATTAGTCGTAAAGAGACAAAACCATAATACTTAAATCCATTATCTATAGGCTTGTCAACATCACGTAGAAATGTATTCCTAGGTGATCAGTCTAGCGTGCAAAAAAATATATAACATAAATAAATAAAATTTCCATGGATAAATTGACAAAGGCAACATCACCTATGGCTAGTTGTAAACCTAAACGTCTATATAAGGAGTACATAATTCATAAATGCTAAAACACTCAATCAAAAGAATTCACTCATGGCAAGGAACATGATCCCCATGCTCGCTATCTCCTTGGTTCTTTCCACCATGTTTGTGATCTCAACAAGTACTTCCTTTCTCTCTCTCTTTTGCTCCTTAATTTAGATATTTTACAACTTTAGTAAATCATAGTATCTTTTTTTGAAGCAATAAAGATCATAGTATCTTATGTTCTTATCATGCTATATAGTTGATTTTTCATAATGTACATACTTGTGAAATTTACATTGACTAAATTTGGCCATGCTCTGTGCCACACAGAGTGTGTGTGTGTGTGTATATGCACACACACACACAAAATTGATGCAGCGTGGGAGTCACAAGAGAGAACTCTTTTTATAGTATAGAATATAAAAGGATCCATTTTAATGCTAACAAGGTTTTGACGGTCTTCAAAGAATTAATAATAATCTATCTTTAGAGCATGATGATCTTGTAAACATGTTAAAGCGTGAATGCAGACAAATGTAAGAGCTTAATCTTAGCATCTGTTAAATTGCCTCCTATTATTGAGTTGTGAATTGGATTTAGATGTTGATGGGTTAATTATTGCCTTTCATATTTCTTTTCAACATCTTATGATCAGATATTTTATTTTTATTAGTTTTAAATAAAACATCCTTTCACCCTCGTAGACAATAATCCTTACATCATGACACGTGCTTGTAGTTCAATCAGATATAATCGAAAACATGAAAGAAATGGGGACATAATTTCTAGAGTATATCATGGAAATAAGAAATGAACATCTAATGAAGCGCAGATATGTACATAAAGAATAATGAGTATCCTATCCTCGCCGTGTGTGGTTACGTGGGATTCTCTCCCCTTTGATTCACCAAGCTAAGATCAACTACATCACTGTATATCGGAGAATCCTATGATACATTTTATTCATTTTAACTTATTTCAGATGTGCAAGCAATTGGAGCTTGTTATGGGATGCAAGGGAACAACCTCCCTCCTCCAAATGAAGTCGTCAACCTCTACAAATCCAAAGGGATTACTAGCATGAGACTCTATGCACCAAACCAAGCAGCCCTCCAAGCGCTCAGGGGCTCCAACATCAACCTCATCCTTGATGTCCCAAGAACTGATCTCCGAAACCTAGCCTCAGACCCTAGTGCAGCAAACTCCTGGGTCCAGAACAACGTCCAGGCCTACTGGCCGGCCGTCCAGTTCCGGTACATCGCTGTCGGCAACGAGGTTATCCCCGGCAATCTCGCCCAGTACGTCCTCCCGGCGATGAAAAACATACACAGCTCACTATCATCTGCTGGATTACAGAACTCAATCAAAGTGTCGACTGCAGTGTCTCTGGGCGTCATCGGCCAATCATACCCTCCTTCTGCCGGCACATTCTCCGGCAATGCCCTGACATATATGACACCGATCGTGCAGTTTCTGGTCAATAATGCGTCGCCACTTCTGGCAAATGTGTACCCATACTTCAGCTACACGGGCAATATGGGTAGCATACGTCTTGACTACGCACTGTTTACTGCACCAGGGACTGTGGTTCAAGATGGCAACTTAAGTTATCAGAACTTGTTTGATGCGCTGATGGACGCAACGTACTCGGCCCTAGAGAGGGTCGGAGGGTCAAGCGTGGTGATTGTCACATCTGAGAGCGGGTGGCCATCTGCAGCTGGGACTGCAGCGACGATCGACAACGCAAGAACTTACAATCAGAATCTGATCAGGCATGTCGCGCAAGGGACGCCAAAGAGACCTGGAAAAAGTATTGAGGCCTACATTTTTTCCATGTTCAATGAGAACCAGAAGGAACCACAAGGGATTGAGAATCACTGGGGACTATTTTACCCAAACAAACAGCCAGTTTATCCAATCAACTTCCAGTAGAAACAAAGGACTGATATAGAATGTAATCTTAAATAAATTGTCATGTTGATCATGAAATAAAATGAAATCACAGGATTTCTTATTCTATAATCAATTGTCACGACAATCCAGCATAACGTTCAAAAAGATTATGGTTGCACAGAAAACCAAGCCTGTTCATGGGAAAAAACCATACAATGTAATTCAGGAACTTGCAAAACCTGCACAAACTTAGTTTATGAGGATCACCTAAAAGCATTCTGCTGATCCCAGTTCAGAAATGAATCAGAATCAAAGCTGAGATAATCTGAAGAGCGACAGCATTTTACAGGTCCTGCTCGACTTTTTGGTCGCGGGGACGTCTGAATCTTGCTTAATCCCACATCACTTACAACCGACGGCAAAGGCGATAGAAGCCTATCATTATATTGAGCACCAAACTCAGAGAAAGTGTCAACTGTTCTTAATCGTTGTTTTGGTGTGCTCAATGATCTAAATCTCGCCTTAGCAGAGGCAGTAGATGCCATATAGCTTGGAAAGGAAGGGGAGATTGAGAAGGAATCATCATCTCTAGCTGAAGCTCTTCGTGATCGGTTGAATGATCTCCTTGCCAAAAACTTTTCTTTAGTATTGTGATTATCTCTACATGGTGTTGAGAAAATATCAGGGATGTCTTTGTTGAGAGGTTGAGCTACCCAATCGTCAAGCCAGCTCCATCTGCGGTCTTCAATATCAGGATCTAATTTTGTAGATACTGGTGTTGTGGGTCTCCTTCGCTCCTGACGAAAGAAATATATATAAAATATTGCAAGAGGAGGTCAAAGTAGAAGTTTGATGGTGCAAGTGTGTAGAGAAATTTTTGTTTACCTGATAAGATGATGCATATTCCATTGCTCGCTCTCGTTTTAGTGCAGCTTCTCTCCTGTTATTCAGTAAGGTCATCATCTCCTCCTTTGATAGGATGCTGCTGTTCCACTTCTTTCCATTGTTTTCTTGAAGCTGTATAATGAGAGGAATGATATATTATGACCTTATCAAACCAAGATATATCTAATTTTCGTAAAGTGGATAATAGAAAGCAACCGTACTAATTTCTGTATACAACGTTATAAATATGCATATAAAGTAACCACCTGATAGCACTCTTGAAAATGAGGAAAAAGATATATGATAGTATAGTCCTGCACCAGAATCTCAAAATCTGATAGTCAATGAGAGAGCTTTAATACGAAATTAATGCAATCTCCAACCATATACTGGCTCTAAAATCATAAATATATGGAAAAGCGACATCTGGGTCATTATCGTGAATGCATAAAACATCAACGGTCTGGTGGCTCTACTGGCTCTAAAATCATAAATATATGGAAAAGCGACATCTGGGTCATTATCGTGAATGCATAAAACATCAACGGTCTGGTGGTTCTAGATGGAATTCTGCCAAAAGGCGTGAAATTGATCTATGATGAAAAGCTTGGAAGCACTTAGCCTTTTGTTTATTCCTATAAGATCTGCACCTTTTTGCTCATTGACTTTCCTTTTTTCATTTTGAGTGTCTTTGACTACAATCATCACTTTTTGCCACTGAAAACCTGCAGCCTCCTGTCTTATCACGGATGTTGCCATTCATCGTGTCTGACATATCTTGAGTGACTTTGGTCCGTAACATGGCAGTTTCAGTGACTAATGTAGAGACATTTCTAATAGAAGATAACCAAGGGATTAAAGTAATTTTGAATGGAAAAAATTAACAGTCTAATGTAGGTTTCTGTGTATGAAAGTTGGAACTATGAATCCATGGTTAATCTGCTGCAATTCAATTGGAAGTCGGAGGCAGTTATTTACAGGGAACCGAACAGAAAGAGGTGACCTCTAATGATACTGTAGCACCTCTCTAGTGTGGTAGTTTAAATGTTGCAGTACTTCAAATCAATGTTTTAGGTCCCTAAACCCACTGAACCACTTAAAAGAAATGGCTAATTCAGACAGAATATACATATCATGATTATACTAAATATAAGTGTGATTTTCAACTTTCTTTGGTCCTACGTTTCATTTTCCTACTCTCCCACCTTATCAAGAGTTTTAAATGTTGACATCAGTTTCACAATGTGAGCTAGTAGGAATATTCGGAAAATTTAAATCTCTAATGATAAGAATTATAACAATAAAATAGGTACACGCGGAGGAAAATATAAAGACAGAAAGAAGAGAGAAGGCGGCAGAGTTAGCTAAAAAGTAATGCATTTGCCCGATGCATGATGTGACATATTACTATAAAATCCTTTGTTCCATAAAAAAATAAGTAATGTTCATGCTCTTAGTAAAAGAATCCACCTATTTTAATATACAAAACAATATAAAATAAAACTACTAATTATGTTGGAAAAAACAATGAGACTTTATACACTTACATCTGCCTTCTTAACTTCTGAATTCTTCATTTTTCTATATGCTACGTCTTTGCAGTCATGAGAATGATTATTAACTAAAGCTCTCACTCTACTGGCACGAGCCTGTGATTGAATCTTCATAAGGGACTGCAATCCTTTCAGTGTATTTGTTGTTTGACGCCTCACTACCTGTCCTCGAATTAGGGCTTGAAGCTTGACCAAACCCCTCAATGCTTTCAGTGCACTTCTTGACTGGAAATATTTTTTGTAAAAATCAATGTTGAGATCTATGAGGAAATTGATGATTTTGGAATTAAATTAAGAGCCTCACAATGAATTGTAAAATGACTTTGGTCAACAAGCTAAAAACAAGTTTCTATTGAAAACATAGAAAAATCAAGCAAAAAGCTCATGTATAATTATTCAGTAATATATTTAAACATGATTAACTTTTTCATACTGTTTATTCTAGCAATTTCTGTCTCTATAACCAACTTCTATTTATTTTATGCTAAAAAAGGAATTCAACTCAAGGCTTGTCAGAATTTAGATTATGATGTGCCGTATATGGACATAGAAATATTGATACGTGTAACTTTGGTTATTTGTTTCTTCAACTATCTGTTGCTTTAATTGGATTTGTTTATTTCCCACATGCAAAAGAAATATGATAAGGGCAAGTGAGCGTATCTGTATTCCAGAAAAAGCGTGCTAGATATATAGCCCTATGTATATTACATTATATTATATACACAATCCGACATACGAGTTTCGCTTGTATTGTATTCACTTCTTGCCACAAGGCATGTGCCTGGGTACTGCAATATACTGAGGAATGCAAAATAGTGAATAAGATGGCTCACATCAAGATATCATCCCGAAGGCTGTTAACTTGATGATTTACTCAATAAATAAAATAATAGATCCAACTTTTAGAAGTCAGGAGGGAACATTTACTTACTTAGGATCAGCAATTCATGCTGACAGTCTAAGATAAAATAGGAAGTTCTTCACGAAATAAAGCAGTCCTTGAAGCGGAAAATTTTGCTGGACTATAATCACAACAGTTTTTGTCTATGAAGTCAAAAGATTTTTGATGGCTACAAGATCAGCCATCCTTATTGTTCGCATAAACAACAAAACCAAAAATGAGTGTTATTGAGAATCGTTTTGACGTGTGTTATGAAGGACAATGAGCATACTGTTAGCACAAATGGTAGATTATAGTTGAGGGACCTACTAAAATTATGATAGACAAATGAACGCGATGGAAGAAAAACATCATAGTTGAGGGAGCTACTAGCCTACTAATACAAGGCTAGAAGAAATGAAACAATGTGGAGGCCATACAAAATGGCATGATAGATGCCAATTCAACAGACACCATCGCACCTATATCAAATGCCAAAGTTTTCAGATAAAAGTTCTGTTGTACAAAAATGGTAGTCTGTCGACGGTAACCTCAAAACCAAGCAAGAACCATACAGGATCATCTTCAAGTAACTTAAATGATGTGGATCATTCGGGTCATTTTTCTTAATGAATTAAAAATTTTAAAATCTAGGTAATTGAATGTGAAAGATCTCATTGGCTCATATAAGATACACAAAATAGTGGTTTCCCACTTTTTTTTTTTTGTTTTTTACAATTCCACATTCAACGAAATAGCATCTTGATCAACCATTCAGTGCCTAATGATAAAAGATGGAACTTTCACAACCCTACTAAAAGTTGAAGATAGGCTCTCAATCGTATAAAAAATAGGATAATAATCTGAAGTAATAGCCCCAGTTTCATGAAACAATTTGCATCTGAGTTCTACAAAGATTAAATTTTATAGAACACCTAATTGTTGTATATAGAATATAGATCTTACATTTTTATCTCATACAGAGGATACTTCCTATTCCGTGAATCCAAAATCTCGTATCCTACTATATGAACAAATAGTGCTTAAAACTATGCATGAAGATTACGCAAGGAGAAGTATTTTCCTTTCCCACTTTTTTCTTTGGCTTAATTTCCCTTTGGCACCCCAGACTTTACCCATTTTTTCACTTTCATACCACAAATTTCAACTTCATTTCTAGATTTTGATCACATGCAATGTAAATTTAACAGAAAATACGCAAATGTCAAAGTGAAACGGGATTGAAACTTTGGGGTATCAACAACGAGCTAAAATCGGTAAAGTTTGGGGTACCAAAGTGAAAATAAGCCTTTTTTCTTTAATTAGCAAAAGAACTTACAAGATACCCGCGGAATGCAGTCTGAATCCTAATAGCCGCAATCTCTTGCGTCCGATGATGAGATGGTGCAGGCGTTCCGGTGAGCCTGACAACTTCAGCAGCTGCATGAGCAGCAGCAACAGCAGCAGCGGCACTGCATGCTTGCTCTGCTCATGCTCCGCGTCGCTCAGTGATCTCGATCTCCTCAGGGATGGAGCAGGGAGAGAAGGTAGGCATTTGGACTTCAATTTCCCAAAAGCCCATTTCCTCCTCTTCTCCTTCTGCAATCATGAGCTCAACGTGTTAGAGATACCAAAAGCCTAGCTGGTATTGATTACAGAGAGGATATGCGGATTAAAAAGCTGTACCTTTTCTTGCTTTGATTTGGTACCTGAACCCAAGAGCCTCTTCAAACGATCAAACCAATTCTTCTTTTTTGCCATTGGAACATCATCCCAATGGATTGGGAAGGCTTTTAATTAGTTCAAATACCTAAAAATTCATTAGCAATAAAAAGATTACATTATTTAGCATCAAGAGAAAAATAACACAACAATTATCTTCACCCATGATACAATTAGCAAAACGTGATTTTGATCTTCCTCATAAGGTTGTAGCCTTTTCTATTATAAATCAAAACCCAGAGAGAAATATCAAAGCCTCCTTTCCGACATGAGCAAAATTACAAACAGCTTACAGGCACAAACATATAAAGGTCTTTTCAAGATGAGCACAATCGAAATGAACTATGAATCAAACCCAAATGTAGAAAACTTGGATTGAGATGTTTCGTAACATACCCATCAACAGTTCAGCAACATTCTGAATGATCTAAAAAAACTCACAAGACCCCCCCAAAGAAAATGGCTCTTTGATAAAGAACCCAATACCATTGCTTTGAAACACTACTGGGGTGGGGAAAAGACTGACACTTTCTCCTTTTCTGAGAGCTTCCCTTTTGGGGTTAAGCTTAGATCCTTATCTAAAAAATAATAATTAAAGGAAAAAAGGAGGTGGTTGTCTACCAAAGGGGCACAGTTTGTTAGCTTTATGCAGGTTTTCAGCAAATCATTAAGGGAAATATAAAGGGTTGTTATCTAAAACATCAGCCAGGCTTTAATACGATAACAGCTGTCCATGAAACAAAGTAAAAATGAGCGAAGGCAATCTAAGGAAATTTCTAAATGCACCCCTCCCATTTATTTTCTGCACATCTTTCTGTTGTGGGCTCAAAATACTTGCAAATTCTGTATGAATTCGCGGGGGTTGGTAAGATTATTTTATTTTAGGTAATATAAGGAGAATGTTTTGACGCAGCGCAGGATAAATGCTCTGCATATTGCTTTCCAAAACAGTGACTTGTCATGACGTTCAGTGCGTGAATAGCGACAAGAATTGAACAGTGCGTCAGTCAAAATGGGAAACCGCAGTAAAGTGATTTCATGTTATGATGAGGATATATACATTTACGCGGGGTGAGAATAAACTTAACCAGCAACAAAACATTGTTGATCTAAATCAGAAAATTACACTCATCAGCCAGCTAATCGGACACACCTTTGACCTCATCACGTCACAGGGTAGACTTTAAAGTCAAAAAAAAACCGTATTAACATTAAGATAATGCTATATTGGAGAAATCTAATAAGGAAACCATTATACATAATCAAGACCATAATGACAGTCTAAACCAGAAAGTAAGTACTTGAGAAATTGCATTCACACCCATTTCCACAGAGAACATGCCCATGGCAGGGGAACCTGGAATTGTGCCGGAGACTTTCCCTGCACAGCAGCACAGCAGTGCAGTAAGAAATTGGTGTCTGTTAAAAAAAAGGGGTGGGAAAAGGGTGAAAAAGAAGGCACTTTTGATGATTTCTAGATAACAGCAAGCATGGAAACTTTCATGTCGTAGGTAGTGCAACTCAAGTGGAGCCCCCCTCCAACTGTCTCTGGGCTGGCTACCAATAAGGCCACATTCACACCCCACCTTTAATTCTTTCCTCCACGCTCCCATACGCTCGCCACCATTAAATATATTGGATCTTTTTTCTGCATTAGTCCTTTGAATATTTTTCCGTTTTGAAATTAGTCCCTCAAATCGTTAAGATTGCTATTAGCCCCTCCGATTTCCATAAGTTGTTCCAAATTAATCTCTCCAATTGCTACTTCTACTCTAGATTGGGAGGGACAATTTCAGAAAATTAAGGACTTAAGGAACTAACACAGAAAAAGTCCTTATATGTTTCCCACTCATACCTCACTCGTACAGCACATGCTACCAATTATGTGAATACAGGCATCGCACAACACTAGATCATAGTCTCTCCCCTCATCTTGCACTCACTCTGGTCCCATGCCTTTCAACTGACAACCACCAAACTAAGTAGTGACTATACAGCTCAACAAGATACCTTAACTGATACAGGGAAGAATTTATTTTCCATATTTACATGATCTACAGCAACGAAACCTTGTAGGAATTCACACGGGAAAAGGGAAGAAAAACTTAAATTAAGGACAAATTTTAAAAATCGACGCATTTACAAAAAAATTGCAAAAATCAACTCATTTACAACATATTTGTCAAAATCGACCAAGTTTCAACCGTTTGGCTGAAACTGGACTTCAAGTCCCGTGAAGTTTCGTAAGTTTTTTGGTCAAAATCGACCCAGTTTCAACCAGATGGCTGAAACTGGATCGATTTTGATAAATATGTTGTAAATGGGTTGATTTTTGTAATTTTTTTAAAATGGGTCGATTTTCAAAATTTGTCCTAAAATTAACTGCTGTTTTAATGGTGGAGCAGTTTTTTGCCCCTCCTCTGCTTCATCTCATTGTATTTCTATAACTTCAGGAATGCACCTAAATGCGCAAGCCATTTAAGAACTCAAGATAACATAACTATGCTCACTTCCATCTTCCATCCTAATCCAAGATTTGAGAGAGAATGGATTTTCGGTCATCTCGAGTATTCTTGATCCTCTAGCCCAGTTTCCATAGCCACCATAGCCAGTATGGCGAGCAAAGCAGAGCCAGAGATTCTTGTAGGGGCAGCACCAATCCAATCCATGGTTGTGCCCAACAAAGACTGCCTGTAATAAAATTTTTATATTAAAAAAAACAATAAGGAAACATATAAAATGCAGAAGAACTCTAATATACTAACCATTCTCAGTACGAGATACTGAAAATTACTGGCTGTGCTCTGATAATTTATGACATAATCTAACATTAAGAAGTAATTAAAGTTGTACCAACTTGACAGTTGACACAACAAGACCTATAGTGAAGTCTCAGCATACAACAAAGGATACCTAACTTTCTGTATTTAGTAGCGCCCAAAGCATGATGGCATCCTGATTCCTCATATCAAAAAGGAGAAAAGGCAGAAAGCAGATCAAGATAGTTTCACATGAATGGCTTGCTTTAGGCTGCCGGAAATATATGTAAACCAAATATTTCTTCCACAGGTTATGCAATGTTAAGTTATCAACAATTTTAAGCATGGAGAATAACTACTATCTTCATGGTCTCCCTGTAAGATTAACATCATTAGGTACATATAAAAAAGAGTTTGGCAGCGAGCTTCATCTGCAAATTGTCTCTCAAAAGTTTGTGAAAATCCCCATATGTGTACTGAAATTCGACATGAGGACCCTATAGATCATGTTCATACACTTTGAAACAAGTTCATGAGAGAGACCTGACGTATCGCTTTCGGGGGAAAAAAAAAAGGTAAAGCACTTTATTTGAGAGCTTTAGTGAGTGTGCACATGGGCTGGGACTCAAAGAGGGTCAGGATCTATGTTAAAAAGTGACCCACCAAGTCTTTGTATTTGGATCAATTTGTTTGGAGTACTCTCTCAGTTGTCTCTTAATAAGAGAATGCCAATCATGCTAGATCTTGAATACAACAAAGGAATGGGTTCGACAAGTATATCAGTGAACGCGGCATTCATCAATTATACACTAACAGCTAAGTGCTCATCTTATCTAGATCAGCCTCTATCCTTTGCAGGAAAACTTGAAGCTGCATCAGCCCCATGTGCACTCCCTTGTGAGACAACAGTTCTTAAAATGTATGTTTTTTAAACCAAGTGCCATACGTAGGTGCATTTAGGCTACAATTGTGTGAAGTTTAGAAACCAACTTTTTTTATTTCTCTAACTCTTAGAAGTTTGCAAATGTATAGGAATATCCTTACCATCGACTTAAACATGGAGATCGAGTAAAAAAGTAAAAGAAGGATTGATGTTGTTGACATATTAGTAATATATAGGGACTTATTTGTAAGTTGTGTTTTGTAGGGGCCTATATAAGCCCAAGAGATTTCATAATACAATTAGGGTTTTCAATTCAACTTGGTATCAGCAGTAAATGCCCTAGCGCCAGCACCCCACCCTCCTCTCTCCCGCCCTAACCACGTCCGCCTTCAACCCTCTGAACCCTTGCTGCCCGCGCTCAAGCCCCACTGTTCACGACCAGCCACCCCCCCCTTGCTCAAAGCCCCCTTGTTCACGATCAGCCCCCCCCCTTCACGATCAGCCCCCCACCCCTCCCGCGTCAAAGCCCCCGACCCCTCCCTGTACTCCCGACCCCTCCTAGGCCGACAACATAACCTGTGTTAACTCCTCCCCCGCCTCCCACTGGCACAACCACCGCGACCCATCCTTGGGCAGGAAACCCCACACGTCGAACCTACCCCTGTTCGAACCCCTCAGCCCCGCTGCCACCTCGCCCTCTGCTCGTGCACCCTGTCGAACCTAGAGTTTGGCATGGATTCCCTCGACATTTCAGTCCTCGAACTGATGAGAGGAAGAGTGTATATCTCACGAAGATGAGATATATCACTTTCAATTCTTATTTCCTCTGAGAAACAAGAATTTTGTTGAGAGCTTACTCTTGTTATGCAGCAGAAATGCTGCCGAAATTTTCACTGCGCACAACACGGGTTTGTGAAGAAAAGGTGAACAAGTGTTGGATCTAAAGCCTGATCGATGAAGGAGATCATCAAGAAGTTGAACCCCGCAGAGGTGTCAACTTTGATGAAATTGATGAAGTTGTCGGCTGGTGAGAGCGCGACAAAACCATCGAAGAAGTTGGAGCTTCCGACCATCGATCAGAAGCTTGATGAACCGGGTACTTACCTGAGCTGGTCACGACGGGTGAGATACACCCTTACGGGGAGGAACTTGGAGGGTTACTTGACGGGAGAGGCGACAGAGCCGGATGAGGACTCGGAGGGAAGAGATGAGTGGAAGTCCACTCATATGTTAGTGTACATCTGGCTCATCAACTTATTGGTCCAGTCGATCGCTGTCACAGTGGATGGCATTGAGAAGGTGAAGGACGTCTGGGTGAAGTTAAGGGGGACCTATGATGGAGTGGGAAATAACCTGAGGGTGTTCCAGATTAAGGGAGAGATCGACGTCACAATCCAGGGAGAGAGGACTGTACAGGAGTATGCCACAGAGCTTGAACGTTTGTGGCTAGACTATGATCACTTCTCACCTCGGGCGAGCTGCAAGGATCCGGGATGTAAAGAGCGGGAGGCCTTTCTACAGGAGAGGACTATGGTGTTTCTCAAGGGATTGACATCAGAGTTTGCTCAGCGAATTGCATTGCTGCTAGCTCAGCCGAAGATTCCCACGCTTGAGGAGGCTATCTCGGTCATGATCCAGGAGGAGACTCGCATTAGGCTACAGACGGGGACAGGTGGACTTCCTGTGGTGAAGTCAGCATTAGCAACCTCTAGCAACACTGGATCCATAAGAGAGACTCGACAGTGCTATAACTGCGGTGAAGTGGGTCATCTAAAACATGCTTGCACCAAGCCACCCAAGGAAGGAGATTCGGGTAGACGTGGGCAGTTCGGAGGTCATGGTCGTGATCGTGGGGGGCGACGAGGTGGAAGAGGAGCAGGCAACCGGGCGAATTAACAGAGGGAGAAGAAGAAGCTGATGTGGTCTTTACTGAGGAGGATCATGCGCTCCTGGCGATACTCAGGAGGAAGCAGAAAGTAGCGGGGGGTGGAGACGGGAGGAGTGGGACTGAGGAGGCATCCACTTCGTTCTTCGTTAGAGGCAACACTGCTACATATGCTCATCCGACCAAAGGTACTGATGACATACATGCTCTTACTTCTATATCTCCCGACAGATCATCAGAATGGATAGTCGACTCCGGTGCGTCTCGACATGTGACAGGTAATGCTAGTGAGTTCTCATCATATACTCACCTAGTATCGCCTGATAGTATTCAAACGGCTCATGGTACATTTTAACCAGTGGTTGGTAAGGATACAGTTGATTATACAGGTTCTGTAACTTTGTCTAATGTTTTACATGTTTCTTCCTTTCCAGTCAATCTTTTGTCCATTAGTACTATCATTCTCTAACTAAAATACATTGTTTCTTTTGATATTCCCAATATGATCTTTCAGGAGAAGGGGACAGGGCGGAGACTTGGGACTGACACATGACGTAGTGGATTGTGGTACTTATATCATGAAGGGATGGATTCAGCGCTAGTTTCAATCGTAGAGAGAGCAGGAGTAAGATCTGGGATGAGTGCTGAGAGTGAATTAATGCTTCATCACCAGCGTTTGGGACACTCATCCTTTAGTGTTTTAAATAGGTTGTATTCATCCTTATTTGAGAAAGCAAATAAACAGAAACTTGTGTGTGATGCATGTGAGTTTGGAAAGCTTACTAGAAACTCTTATGTTAGTTCTGGTCATAGGAGTTCTCATGCATTTGACCTTGTACATTCAGATGTTTGGGGTCTTATTCCACAAGTTCTATGAATGGATACAAGTACTTTGTTACCTTTATTAATTGCTTCTCTCGCGTTACTTGGTTATACTTGATGAAAAATAAGAATGAAGTGTTTGGTTGCTTCCAAAACTTTCATAGGAATATTCAGACTCAATACGAAGCAGTGGTGAAAGTATTGAGGTCTGATAATGGGACAGAATATACTAACAGAGCATTAAGAGAATACTTGTTAGCTTAGGGAATACAGCATCAGACTACATGTCCATATACACCAGCTCAGAATGGGGTAGCAGAAAGGAAGAACAGACATCTTTTAGAGGTTGCTAAAAGCATGATGATCTACATGAATGTCCCAGAAACATTGTGGGGGCAAGCAGTGTTGACCGCAGCAGCGCTGATCAACAGAATGCCCAGAAACATTGTGGGGGCAAGCAGTGTTGACCGCAGCAGCGCTGATCAACAGAATGCCCTCGAGAGTGCTAGATTGGAAGTCTGGGGCAAGCAGTGTTGACCGCAGCAGCGCTGATCAACAGAATGCCCTCGAGAGTGCTAGATTGGAAGTCTTCGTGTGAGACATTGAAGGGAGATAATGGTGGGATTCTTCCACTGAAAGTGTTTGGCTGTGTGTGCTTTGTGAAAGACAACAGGCCATCCGTCGAGAAGCTTGCCCCTAGAGCGGTAAAATACATCTTTGTGGGATATTCTGCTACTCAGAAGGGATATGTTTGCTAAAGCCCGGTGGAGAAGAGACTGTTTGTAAGCATAGATGTACACTTTCGAGAACTCAAGTCATATTACACCCGGAAGGTAACCTCATCCGTTAATGACTCGCCCGATACTGGAAGTATGAGGCGAGAGGGGGAGAATGGTGAGAGACAGGTGAATAATGTAGAGAATAATATGGAAAAATCGATTTCTGTATCGATTCTTTGGGAAGGAGAATTAGCTGAGGAGGAGCAGGAGAATGAAGAAGAAGAGGAGAAGGAGACAAGAGGTGTTAGGCCCACAGTTCAGGAGGAGCTACTAACCTATAGTAGGAAGGGAAAGCAGATTGCAGGAACAGTACCTATAGTACCACTAGTGCTGTCAAGTCCCTTGTCAACGCCTGTTCCGACTCCTGAGACACCTACACCACCACCAGATTCATCCCAAGGTGATAACATTCCTCTCCCTACTCCTCCCACATCAATATCATTACGGAGGACTACTCGCAGTAATGCAGGAAATCCTCCTGATAGATATAAATGGGATCTTGCCCGGTTTGTATCATACTCTAACATTTATCCTGCACATGGAGCATTCATTGCATCATTGGACTCTGTTACTGTACCTAACAATTGGCAGGTTGCTAAGAAGGATCCAAAGTGAAAAACGGGTATGCACGAAGAACTAGGGGCTCTTGAGAAGAACCGCACTTGGGAGTTAGTAAAACTACCAAAAGAAAAGAGAGCAGTTGGATGCAAGTGGGTCTTCACTGTGAAGCAGAATCCAGATGGACAGGTTGAGCGTTATAAGGCTCGTCTTGTGGCAAAAGGGTATAGTCAGACGTATGGAATCGACTATGATAAGACTTTTGTACCGGTGGCGAAGATGAGCACTGTTCGAACCTTGATCTTTCTGGCAGTAAATGGTGGATGGAAGCTACACCAACTAGATGTGAAGAATGCATTTCTTCATGGAGATCTGATGAAAGAGGTATACATGGAAATACCACCAGAATTCGACACAGATCAGACAGTGGACAAGGTCTGCAGATTGAAGAAGTCTCTCTATGGCCTGAAGCAATCTCCTCGTGCTTGGTTTGACAGATTCAGACGGGCTATGATAGGTATGGGATACCGGCAGATTAACGCCGATCATACCGTGTTCTTTTGACGAAGCGAATGTCACATCACCATACTTGCCGTATATGTGAATGATATGATTATTACAGGGGATGATGAGAAGGAGATTGCCCAACTCAAAGTGAGATTGGGTAAGGAATTCGAGATGAAAGATCTTGGCTTGCTTCGATACTTTCTTCGAATAGAGATAGCTCGAGGAGCAGAGGGGATCGTCCTATCCCAGAGAAAGTATGCAGTGGATCTTCTCAAAGAGACAGGGATGTTAGGGTGCAAACCTGTAACTACACCGATCGATCAGAAGTTCAAACTGGGTGCTGAAGCTGGAGAACCAGTTAATCGTGACAGATACCAAAGGCTAGTGGGTAGGTTGATCTATCTGAGTCATACACGTCCCGATATCTCTTTTGCAGTGAGTGTGGTAAGCCGCTACATGCATGATCCAAGGAATGGTCATATGGACGCTGTGTACCAGATTCTGAGATATTTGAAGAGTGCCCCCGGAAAAGGGCTGATATTCAGGAAGAATGAACATGTGAGCATTGAGGGTTATTGCGACTCTGATTGGGCTAGCTGTGCTGATGACAGGAGGTCCACCTCAGGATACTGCATTTTTATAGGAGATAACTTGGTCTCATGGAAGAGTAAGAAGCAGTCAGTGATGACGAGATCGATAGCTGAGGCAGAGTATAGAGCTATGGCCTTAGGAGTTGCTGAGTTGTTATGGGTGAAGAGTATACTGGTGGAGCTGAAGCTGGATCAAGGAGCTAAGATGAAGTTGTGGTGTGATAACAAGTCAGCCATCAGTAAAGATGAAGTTGTGGTGTGATAACAAGTCAGCCATCAGTATCGCCAACAACCCAGTGCAGCATGATAGAACCAAACACATCGAGATCGATAGGTTCTTCATCAAAGAGAAGTTGGATAATGGACTACTGGAGCTAAGTCATATTTCGACTAAGCATCAGGCAGCAGATTGTCTGACTAAGGGACTTAGCTCAGTAGATATGATTAGAGGATGTGACAAGATGGGCTTAGTGGATATCTTTCGCCCATCTTAAGAAGGAGTGTTGACATATTAGTAATATATTGGGACTTATTTGTAAGTTGTGTTTTGTAGGGGCCTATATAAGCCCAAGAGATTTCATAATACAATTAGAGTTTTCAATTCAAATGATGTTGTATAAGCAAACTCTGTATTCCCGCTGAAAATAAGAGACCAAAAAGGGCACTAGGAGGCATTCATCCAGACAAATCTCACAGACACAAAAACTGAATGATTTTTGCAATCAGCTTAGACAAATATATCTTGACAATATAGAGAAAATTCAAGCCTCAGATACGAACATGATTATCAGAAACTCAAAATTATATATGTATATATAATTAAAATTCGATTGAAGAACAGAAAGGAGTGAACAGACAAGGTATTGCCCAAGCAAGCAATATGTGGCTAGGAATGAGGACGTGAAGGAAGGCCTGCAGCTAGTAATTGACAAATTGTAGTAACATAAGAGAGAAATGTAACATGTTACTTTCAACCCAAGAGAACTACGGAAGTGTGTGCATCAATGCATCTATTAGTGAGAAAAGTGAGTGCTATAAACTCATATCTTGAATATAATTACAAAAAGAAGTACTTTATAGTTAGATTTATGGGAAACATGATAGTGCTCTGCACTAAGGTCCAACCTGTTAGTACACAGATAGCATGCAGAACTACTTCTATCCAAAAGTTTAAACTTATCAAATGGCGACTGACAAAGTGCACCCAACAAGCTTAGACTCATGGAGACCAATTGGGTTTATTTCAAAATTGTAAAATGTTCTTAAATTATGCATACCTGTAAGTATTATAGATAATTTGCATACGCATGAAACAAACATGAAAGAGACAAGTTTCTCCTTACTTTAACAAATAATTATCAAATAGTTTCACAGTAAACATAACAAGGGTCACTTTCAATTAAAAAAAATGAATTCATAGTCTGTGCTTTTTCATGAAGAAAAAGAGTTTCAATTTCCAGTCATATAGCCTTTTCTGGAGAATTTATTCTCTTGTTCTCATTGTTGTCTCACGGAGTCACAGTTGATCAAAAGAATCTTACACACATATGCATACAAGCAGTCACAAGCAAGCTTCATAGCAAGTTGAAACATTGAATACATTTATTATACAAGGTATCTCTGCCTGTGCACGTAAGTGCATGTGGTAACAACTACAATATTTACAGAATTCCCATACAAGATAGCACGAGCATTGAAATCAATGTCCAATGTAGTGTCATTGGAACATTATTGGATCAAATTATAACTCAAGACTCTTGAAGATCAATCCAAAAGTTATTTCAGAAAATGTAATCATGTTCTTAAATTTTGAGCGCTGGTGTATTTCACAGATAATTTGCATATGCATGAAAGAAAGCATGCAAACCAGTTTCTCCTTACCTTAAAGTAACAAATCTTCACGAAATAGAATCCAGATAGATTAACAGTAAACATAACAATGGTCATTTCAATAAAGCATCCAGGATTCCTAGCTTTGATTATTTCATAGGAAAACAAAGAAAGTTTCACTTTTAGGTACTACCGTTAAGGGCGAATTTTCTTGCAGAAATAGAGATCTAGTATGAAATTTACTTATCATAAGATAGTTTCAAGTTAATAAAAGTGCCCTTTCCAGTGAATTATTTTCTTGTCCTCGTTCTTGATCTCACAATTGATTAGAAAGAATCTTACACATGCATGTATGCCCGCATGCATGCATAGGCAATCTTAACAGCAAGTTGAAACAATGCATACATTCCACACAAGGTAAAAACTATTTGTGTTTGCTAACTCTCGTTCTGTGCATGTGTGTGTTTGAGTACTATAGTATTTACAAAATCACATTCAAGTTGACATAAGAATGATATCATAAATCGTTCAATGCTGTGTAATTGGAATATTGGTCAAATTCTACCTCAAGACTCTTGGAGCAGTCAGATTTTATTTCTGAAAAATGTAACCAAGTCTTTTAATTATTGCATACCTGTGTATATTATAGGCAATATCCATATGCATGAAAAACATCACGAAAGAAACCATCCTCACCTTAACAGATGATCTGTGTAAGAGAATGTCCATGGTTCCCCATTCCGCTTCTTGGGAAGCAACTCTCTCTTTATTAATAGAACCAACACAGGGCTTGTGTATTCCAAATATAGGCATAGGAGCTACCTTTTTATAGGCTTCACTCGGTATATGCCAAAATATCACTTCAGGGATCCTATGGAAACAAGGCAGACAATAAAATGCAAACATGTATTCCCCATGAAAAGAAAAGAGAAAACATGGTGATTATCGGTTTCTACCTTGCATCAGGATTGATCAGTTGTGATTGCTCCTCGAACCACTTAGCCTGAGCATGAGATATGACCTCTGGGTAGGACCCGCCACCAGAATCAAGGAAATATAGGAAAACAACAGGTAATTTCCCGTTAGTAGATGATGAGACTTGCAGTACATAGTTTGAAACACTCGGCCAAAGCTCTCTAGGACCGCTATGTGAATAAGATAAAGTATTTCTCTCAATCTCCATGTTCACCAATTCAATGCGCTTTGCTCCTCCGAAACTGCATTCTCGTTCTCCTGCCAAGTAATGATTTCCTCAATTTGCATATGTGTCATCAAGTCGACGTCTTTGTGCTACAACCATAATCTTTAAGTACATCATTTATAGGTAATATTTCCTATTAAAAAATAGGGGTTTTTATTTCTAGACCCATTTGTTTACTCACCTTTACCTATAAACCCAATCACTATTACTTGTATCTTTAAACCCAATTGACTTTTTTATTTGTCTTTAAACACAATTTCTAAAATACAGTAGATAGAACATTTGTATTTATACACAAACATGGTAAAAACCCCAAAATACCCCCTTTCAATACCCCATATAAACCAATACCTCTCTCTCCTCATTTTCCCCCTAAACGTCTCTCAACCCTAATTGAAAATCCCAAATTCCCCCTTCTCGTGACCGTCGCCCATCGCCGTCGCCGTGAGCTCCCTCACAGTCGCCTTCGCATTCATCGTCGCCGTCGCGTCACAGTGAGCTTGTATAGTTGCAGTGACGTGACATAAGAACCCAAATTCAAGTAAGAACACCTCGCCATGAGCTCGACCTCACTGTCGCCCGTCGTCGCCGCCCGCTGTGTCCAGTCGACGTGAGCTCGCCCTTGTCGTTAGCTCGACCTTGTCGTCGCCCGTCTCAGCTGTCGTCGACGCCTCAGTACAAGTGAGCTCCATTTTCCTTTTTTTTTTTGCTATTATAATTAAAGTCAAAGAAATCATTTGTGATTTGGGTATTTCATGGACAAGAAAAAAAATCACAAATTAATCAATTATACTAAAAAAATTCACTGGATTCACAGAAATTGAAATTTTTGACTTGGGTATAATTAATTTGTTACTTTTATTACATCCCACAGAAATTGAAATCTAGTCTTGGATTTTTTTTGACTTGGGTATAATTTTTTCATTGGATTCAACTTGCCCGTCACAAATTTTTGACTTGGGTATAATTGAAAATTTAATTTGTGACTTAATTATAGTGTAATAAAAGGTTTTCTATGTTGACATCTAGTCTTGGATTCACAACTGTAAGTTTCATTGATAGAACTGGCAAGAAGAAGAGAATAATTATTTCTTTGGATTCACAGCTACAAGTTTCTATCTCAAACTATAATATAATCTATATCTTTTTTTCCATGTTTCATTATAATCTGTGTACATGAAAAATAAGAATGGGCTTTCACTATGTTGATAGACAACTAAAGTTGGTTTATGTTTTACTTTGATTGCAGAAAATCATACATATGGATTTAGTAAGAATTCCATCCAACATTTGCTACTTTCGGGACCTTCTTCAAAATCGTATTTCTTCTACATTGTCGGAAGATCATCGGACAGCCCTTCAAGATACTTCATTCTATGGCTATTTGGATATTCCCGATATTCCAATGCAACCACTTCTAGTGGATTGTTTGTTGAAAGTATTTGATGTTGAAAAAAATAGTTTTAAAATTGGAAGAAAATAAACCTCCTTTGGTGTTGAAGATGTTGGGAGAATTATGGGTCTTCCGATGGGAGGATCTAAAGTTGTATGCGGTTTCTTAGAAATGGTTCTAACTTGTATATTCAGTCTACTATTCTTTTAATCCGCGTATCTTTTGATTTCAGGATATAAACGTGATCCTCAAGCTAAGATTTCCGGATATAAACTGTGATATGCAAATTTTGAGTGCTATTTTGTGGTGTATAAATATATGTGGGTGTTTGATTTGTAAAGTATTGTTCTCAATTTGTTAGACTGAAAGTAGATAATGAAAGTTATTCTCAATAGTGGTATGTGCTTGTGATATGTGTTTGGTGCTATTATGTGTTGGTGGATGAGGGTTGAATTATTATGCTAGTTGATGAGGGTTGCTATTATGTGTTGGTTCTCAATAATAAAAATTATGTTCTCAATAGTGTTATGTTCTTGGTGCTATTATGTGCTGGTTAATGAGGGTTGAAATATTTTAATTTCAAGGCTCGTGTTTTAGTCTTGTAAGCTGAAAACTCAAAGGTTTGTAATAGGGTTGAAATATTTTAATTTCAAGGCTCGTGTTTTAGTCTTGTAAGCTGAAAACTCAAAGGTTTGTAAGCTGATTTTGAGGTAATCAAGCAAAGGCTCGTGTTTTAGTCTTGTAAGCTGAAAACTCAAAGGTTTGTAAGCTGATTTTGAGGTAATCAAGCAGCTGCCAGTGAATTGAAAAATGCAGTGTGCGGAACGTAGCTTAACTCATGCATATCTAGTAAGTATAGTATGATACGTTATAAGTATAGCATGATATCCAGTAAGTATAGCATGATACGCTGTAAGTATAACATGATACGTTGTAAGTATAGCATGATATCCAGTAAGTATAGCATAATACGCTGTAAGTATAGCATGATATCTAGTACGTATAGCATGATATACAGTAAGTATAGCATGATATTCAATAAGTATAATATGATACGCTGTAAGTATAGCATGATACACTGTAAGTATAGCATGACATTCTGAAAGTATAGCATGATATAATGTAAGTATAGCATGATATCCTGTAAGTATAGCACGATACACTATAAGTATAGCATGATGCACTATAAGTATAGCATGATATCCTGTAAGTATAGCATGATGCACTGTAAGTATAGCATGATGCACTGTAAGTATAGCATGATGCGCTGTAAGTATAGTATGTTATACTTACAGCGCATCATGCTATACTTACAGTGCATCATGCTATACTTACAGGATATCATGTTATACTTTCAGGATATCATGCTATACTTACAGTGCATCATGTTATACTTACAGGATATCATGCTATACTTACAAGTCTTGTATTTCATGCTATACTAACAGGTTATCATTCTATACTAAAATCAAATTTAATTAAAATTTCATCAAATATAACAAATTTAATTAAAAATTATGAATTCATGAATAATAATGAGAAATTAATGTGAAATAATCATGTGAAATAACTAATGTGAAATCATAATGTGAAATAAATGAGTGGTTGACTAAAACCTCATTTAACTAACACTTTATCAAATGTAACAAATTTTTACTAATTTTTATGAGTTCATGAATAACAATGTCAAATAATTGTCATGAATAAAATAAGAAATTAATGTTAAAAACTTGGTAGTTGAGTAGATTGCAAAATTGTACCTTTAATTGTTAAGAAAGTGACGAATATCCACCAAAATCACACCCTACACATTAATGATGGATTGATAAGTGAGTGAGGATTAATTGAAGGGTTTATAACAATGTTTTAAATGTCGGATGTCGGGTTCATGTCGAAAGGCTAAAATCCATATCGGATAGCGAAAATCGGGGATATATCGAGGGACATGGACTAAATATCGGATTACCATATCGGGTGGTGCGCATATGTATAATATCATGTCCTAAATCTATGCATTCCTAAATTCAATATAAACATACTTTATAAATTCTAGAGGCGGCGTCGGCGATGAGTGGATTTTGACGTCGCAGGGAGATAGTGTCAGGGCTCTTCTTCTTCTTCGTCTGCTCGGGGTCCTTCGGATGAGTCACCGACCACCCTCTTCTCTTTATCCCGACGACAGTATACCCTGCTGCCCTCGGGTTCGGTTAGGGTTCGGATTTCGGGGTGCAACGGGAGATAGACATTAGGGGGCTGAGATGAAGATGAGGGAAGGGCGTCGTCGTTTACGAAAGGAGTGATCGGTTCCCAAGTCCGTTATAGACCTAATTTTTCTTTTTTCTTTCTATCGGGTTCATAAGAAACCCTTAAACAAGAGAATGTGTCAAACGAGTTTGGGTTTTTATCACTAAACTCAAACCCGATAATAAAAAACAGATCTAAAAAAGGGTCATATCAGCACATTTTTAAAGCTAAAAAATCGCCCGATATGCCTGATATGGCCCTAATATTTTCAATTTGGCCCTGAAAACCGACATACGAGTTGAAAACGTCTATGTCGTGTCGCTCAAGCCCTCAAACCGACATGTCGGCCGACATATCGGACATGTCGGACAATATTTAAAACATTGGTTTATAAGAGTATAAGAATATATTAATGGAGTGAGAGAGGGTAGTTAATTAAGAAATGGAGAGAGAGAAAGGAAGGGGAGAAGGGGAGAGGAGGGGGGAGAGAGAGGGTAGTGAGAGAGACTCCTCTCCCGCGCAAGAGAGGAGAGAAATAGGGAAACCCCCGTTTCTCTCTCTCTCTCTTCATTTTTTCTTTATTTTTTAATTTTTTTAAAAGGACCCACTTACATGAGATAAAATTTGAAAGGCTATAATTGGAATTTAAGAAAAAACTTAGGGGGCCCATATATAAAAGTATTGTATTTTAGAAATTTGATTTAAAGACAAATACAAAAAGAGAATTGGATTTAAAGATACAAGTAATAATGATTTGGTTTATAGGTAAAGTTGAGTAAACAAATGGGCCTAGAAATAAAAACCCCTAAAAAAATATTTAGAAACATGTAGGTTGTTAAAAGGAGGAAGAGGAAAACTGAGCTACTAAATTTGTATTGAACTGTAACAACTATTGAAAGGTTTTCTAATGCCAGTCACTCAAATCTTGGTATTTTCTTATTTATCTCCCAAAACAATTAAGTCAAAAAAAATAGAACTTCTAGTTCCATTAAACCATTGATAGTAAGGATATCCATTAACTTTAACTGATAATGATATTAGGACCATTTGCCCCTCAATCACATGTAATGATATATTAGTTCTCTTCTCGAGGGGGGAGAGGTACAGGACTTTGAGATGAGAAAATAGACCAGATTTGTTTTTAAGATAATGGGTTCAGATTATTTGAAATAGTTGGAAATGAGAATATAACCATTGGTGGAGGGGCAAAATACTCTTTAGCAAGAGTTAAATATATCATCGCAAATAAGTGTATATAATCCGAGCAGAGAGACTAATTTGGTGTAACTTAGCTGATTTCATGGACTAACATTGAAGTAAGGTTTTTTCGATATATGTAATAAGTTCAATAATAATAGAAACCAACTGTTTTAGATCACTATGTTTGAACAAGTAGTTGGCAATCGATATAAGCAAGAGATGAAACGAAAAGTTGACCAGATATGCAGCAACACCCACCTACAACTACAAGAACCTATCCATCAGAGAAGTCCAATAATATCTAATAAAAAAGGGTTAACATAAGAATACATAGTTTCACCAGAGAGAGAAAAGTATATCTCAAGTAGTTACCTATGGACAAACAAATGCTTGTATGGACAATGACAATATTTAGAATGCATTATCTTTATATGAGTTTTTCCTTCATACCTGAAACTGAGAAATTTGTTGGTGGACAGCAGACCTGAGGAATTCCAGTGGCAGAAAACCATTCAGATGGCCACACAAAAGATGCATCATCATGGTTTCCAAATATTGTTGCCCACGGGATCCCTCTTTTTCTTGTCGGAGAAATAGCACAATCCCAATACATGGTTGCATTAGGAATTGGAAGGTTGTTTGCAGTGATAACATCTCCAAGATAGATTACAAAGTCTGTGATAATATATCAATTTTCCATAAGAATAAGGGAAAACTAAGGTACAAAATTAAGTTAAAATAAGAACTAACTTTGATTCTGATTTTCACACAACAACACTTATGCCTCGTTTGGTACGCGGGAATGAGGAGGAATGGAATGCAATTCCCACTTCCCATTCCCTCATACCAAACACACCTATATTTTAGATGTTGGAATGACCATTCCCTAGGAATGATCATTCCCACTATTTGTGGGAATGAGCATTCCAAGTGAGAAGATAAGGAATGGTCATTCCCATTCAAGTGAGAATCAAAAACTAGTTAGGTATTTTTCAATTATATCCATATTAATAATAAAGAATGTTTGGGTGAGGCGCTATGCAAGTGGGCAATTTTAGATTGACAATTTAGGCTAGTATATCATTTTGCTATTTCGAAACTTATTATTTTAGTTGGTATTGTTTTATGGATTTTTGCTATTATGAATTGAGTGATTTTGATACTATATCAAATAAGTTAATTTATATATCTAGAACTGTGGATTGTGGATATCATTCTTTTTTTTTTGGACCTATGAAAGATACGATAATCTTTTTTTTTATTTTTCTTTAATTTTTAAGACTAAGAAATATCGAGTATTGTTTAAAAAATATAAACGAAACATACACCTGATGGATAACACGAGCATTAGTATAACACATACCTAGATTAATATAACATATGCGTATATAAAATTATTTAGTTATTATCATTAATGTTTATTTTTTATCTTATTAAAAATCTATGTTGTTGTAAGGGCATTATTAGAAAATGAGATTTCATTCTCACTTGTGTACTAGTGATACCAAACATGGGAATGGGAATGAGATTTCCATTCTAGCTTCATTCTACGAACGCACCCAAACAAGAGAATGAGAATGACCATTCCATTCTCACATGCAATCCATTCCATTCCTTCTTCCATTCCATTCCCAAGTCTGTCCATTCCCACGTACCAAACGAGGCGTTAGGTTAAAACAGGATCTCCCTAAAATAACTGACATGCCTCACATCCCTTAAACACCAGCTTCGCAAATAGCATACATTTATTATGACCTGAAACACGAATATGTTAACAGAATACATTTGATGAGCTTCCGGTCCACTTGAATAACCTTCCTGACCTTATTTGAACGTGTTTAGTTGTTCTACTTTCTTAAAATAAAAAAATAAAAAAAGGAAACTAAATGCAGCTGCTTTAGTCAGTGTGTTGCCTTGCACATTGCATCTCGGGCACATACGCCAACTAGCCCTTGCATGCAGTGTGTTAATTCTTAATAACATTGTCACCAAATGCTCCTAACAGTCATGTAAACTCCACAACTACTCTATCTTTGCGGGATGTTTCTGCCATGTCTTCCTCACCACAATGTTGTGTGAGGCAGAAGATCTCCTACTTGATGTAGTTATACTATGACTAATTCATACTCTCCAACATTTCTTTCTTTTCTTCCTACCATCCAACATAGTTTCATCTTGTCATGAGGCAGTCAAGTATTTACAGCAATGACAGACTATGAAAGAAGGACTGCATGCATTTCATTATACTTGTGATCTTGTGTCCAAACTTCTGGCATTAAAACCTGTAAAATGCAAATGGATTTACAAGGTCAAGACTTGGTCCAACAAATCTATTGAGTTTTGAAAAAACCGCCTAATGTCTCATGGACTTTCGAGTCAAGTATGTATTATTATAATTATGAAGAGACAGACATATTATGAAGAGACAGACATACTGGTGCATAAGATGATTTGCCTACACTCTTGTCATTGTTGTTCTCAACAACACTCGGTTTTATTAATAGGATGTAGAAAAATGTCTTTTTAAATGGTGACTTCCTCAGGAGGTATACATACGGCCTCCTCTCAATCTTCAGACTCCAAAAGATCATGTATGTTATCATTTGTAGGCTCAAGTCTGCAGGATTTGAGCTTTTTCATCAATGAATTATTTTAAAACAAGTTGTGTTGGGACCGCATTCGACTATGACATGTACACTAAAATATCACTATGGATGAGGCTCTCATTTATCGTTTTTTTGGATCAACATCTTAAAAATTACTTTGAGATGAAAGATATAGGTGTTCTGCTCTCTTTCCAAGCATTAAGGGTGTCAGACTCCTCGTGAATTTATTTTACTTCTTAGCATTTTGATCTGATTTCTCCACTGCAGCTAATCCAGTGGAAATGAATGTAAAACTTCAGGCAAAGTAATGATGATATTCTGTGTCAACCAAGGTGGTACCAAAAGGTCCAAAACTAGTTGGTACTTGGTAAACTAGCGTACATCACCATCACCAAACTTGATATTCCTCATTTTGTACATATTTTCAGCGAAGTTATCATTAGCCATATTTATTCATTATACAATACTTCTCAAGAGTCGAGTCTTTGGTATCCGCGTTAAATTAGGACACGTACCTTGTTGTTTCTATCTAAATCATCTGCAGAGATTCTTGCACATTTGGATGTTGGATAAACTAACAACTTTACACTCGCTGATCTACTATTGGGTTCTACATTTTGTAGAGACCTTCATTATTCTCCTGGCATAAGAAGATGCAAGATATAGTTTGTCATTTTATTGTAGAGAGTGAGTATACAAGGTGATGGTTTATACTGCCACGAGTTACAAAGACACAGATGATTGTTACATCATCTATCTATTACTATATTATTACTATATTTAAAAGAAGGCTGGCTTTTGGTCCATATTTGTCATTCTATTTGTTATACCCATTATTAGTCACAATTAAAAAATTGACATATGTCCCGTGCCTTATAAGTTATAACTCTTTCTTTCCATAACTAACAAGTTTCTTTAATTGTGAAAGTGGGCAATTTTGGAAAACTCAATATGCTGAAGAAACCAATTTGTCAACCGCCACTTAAACCGTTTGAATCTACTGAATATAAAGCGAATTCAAACCATGCCAGTTACTCTCCATGATTCCACTCCAACCTTAACCATTAGAAAACTGTCCACCGCACCCTTAAATATAGGGTCCCAAAAACAATTTCCAAAAAATTGAGAAACTCCAAAGAAAAACCTATTAATTAGAAGAAAAATAGATAATTGGAAGGATGCACACAACAAAGAATTGGCCTCTCCATAGAAGCAACAGACAACGTCGAAGCCTCAGCAAGACAGGCCTCTCCAAAGAAGCAACAGACAACATCAAAGCCTCAGCAAGACCACAGTATTCAAGATAAGATTGCTTACAAATATGATCTTACTTTTGTGGTAATAGTTTCTTATTTTATTATAATTTTTGTTAGATATATTGAAAATATCTTCCCTTTCTTGTTATATTACAATGAGATTACATGTCTATATATACATACATCAACCAGCTATAAAGGAAAGAAATAAAAAGGAAGAAAATCAATGGGAAATCAATGGGCAATCCCAAATATATTGCACAATCAATGGGGAATCAATGGGCAATCCCAAATATATTGCATAATCAATGGGAAATCAATGGGCAATCCCAAATATACGTTAACACCCCCCCTCAAACTCAAGATGGGCTAGTGGAGGCCAGCTTGAGTTTGTTAAGTAAATGACAGAATCGGCCAGGAAGATGAGCTTTAGTGAAAATGTCTGCAGGCTGATCTATTGAGGATATAGGAAGAAGTTGCAAGGTGCCACGCTGAAGATGTTGACGAACAAAATGACAATCATTCTCAATGTGTTTGGTGCGTTCGTGGAAAACATCATTATGAGCAATTTGAATTGCACTTCGATTGTCACAATGGAGAATGGTAGCAGAGGATTGTGGAACTCCCATATCCTCAAGTAACCAACGGAGCCAAAGTAATTCAGAAGTAGTATTAGCTAGGGCCCGATATTCAGATTCAGTACTTGATCGAGATGTGACAGTTTGCTTTTTACTTCTCCATGAAATGAGCGAGTCACCCAAGAAGAAGCAGTAACCAGTTGTGGAGCGACGATCAGTAGGATCACCAGCCCAATCAGCATCAGAATAGCCAGTTAAAATTAAGGACGAATGAGCAGAAAAATGAAGTCCATGAAGAAGAGTGCCTTTGACATATCTTAGAATACGAAGAACAACAGTAAAGTGGATAGTCCGAGGAGCAGCCATGAATTGATTGACAACATGCACAGCATAGGCGATATCAGGACGAGTCACGGTCAGATAAACAAGACTACCAACAAGCTGTCTATATAAAGTAGGATCAGGAAGAGGTGTGCCATCAAATGGTGTTAGCTTAACATTGGTATCCAATGGTGTTGAGGCAATATTTGAATCAGTGAGACCAGATCTGGAAAGCAAATCAGAAGCATATTTGGCTTGGGACAAATAGTAGCCATCTGAAGAAGAAGAGACTTCAAGCCCGAGAAAATAACTGAGTGGTCCCAAATTTTTCATCTCAAACTGTTGACTGAGGTAGTTTTGTAAGTCAGAGATGGCCACAGAATCATCACCTGTAATGATCATATCATCCACATAAAGTAACAACAGAACAATACCCTTCTCAGTACGACGGATAAATAAGGCCGAATCATGAGGGCTAGAAGCAAAACCAAAACGTGCAATAGTGGAACTGAATTTTGCAAACCATGCTCTCGGAGCTTGCTTAAGACCATATAAAGCTCTCCGAAGAAGACAAACTTTTTGTGGAGGATGAGAATAACCAGGAGGAGGATGCATGTAAACTTCCTCTTCCAAATCGCCGTTGAGAAAAGCATTTTTAACATCCATCTGAAGAAGGGGCCAATGTTTTACTGCAGCAACAGCTAAAAGACTACGAACAGAGGTTAAACGAGCAACAGGAGCAAATGTTTCTTCATAATCAATGCCATATTCCTGAGTATAGCCTTTAGCAACTAAACGAGCTTTATAACGCTCGACAGAACCATCAGACCGAGTTTTAATCTTGTAAACCCACTTACATCCGATAGGAGTTTTGCCTGAAGGAAGATCCACTAAATCCCAAGTATGTGTTTTCTCTAAGGCATGAAGTTCCTCAGACATTGCTTGCTGCCAGAGAGGATCAGTACTAGCCTCACGGTAAGAATGTGGTTCTTGTAAAGAAACAATAGCAGAAAAACAATGATAATCTTGAAGATGATGAGGAGATTCTCTTATCCGATTAGAGCGACGAAGAGGAGGTTCAGGATCATCAGTGGAGACAGATGCTGTAGATGTGGGTGCAGAGGTGGAAGGAGAATTATCAAGCTCAACTAAAGATTCTGTATCAGAGGAAGGGAATAACTCAATGGAAGGGTCAGTGAAGAATGGTTGAGAGGCGGAAAAAGAACTATGAAATTTAGACAGAGTGGAGAACATGGTATGCTCCCAAAAAGTGACATGACGAGAAATTCGTAACCGACCAGACATAGGATCCCAACACCGATATCCTTTGTGTTCTTGTCCATATCCAAGAAAACAACAAAGACGAGCCCGCGGTTCAAGTTTGGTATGTTCATGGGGGTTAAGAAGAACAAAACAAGCACAACCAAAAACTCTAAGATTTGAGTAATCAGGTGGTTTACCATATAATCGTTCAAAAGGAGACAGATTCTGAAGGACCGGAGTAGGAAGACGATTAATGGTGTAAACAGAGGTAAGTGCAGCCTCACCCCAAAATTTTTCAGGACAGGATGCTGAAAGAAGTTGAGCACGAACAGAATCTAAGATATGACGATGTTTACGTTCTGCACGACCATTTTGTTGGGAGGTATAAGGACATGATCTTTGAACAATAGTTCCCTGCTGTTTGAGAAACTGAAGAAGAGTAGAATCTTGATATTCCATGGCATTATCAGTACGAAAAATTTTGATACAGCAAGAAAATTGAGTTGTAATCATGGTAGCAAAATCAATATAAATTTGAGATAATTCAGATCTATGCTTAAGAAAATATATCCATGTAAATCTAGAATAATCATCAATGAATAAAACAAAGTATTTGTAACCATTCACAGTAGGAGTAGGAGCAGGACCCCAAATATCAGAATGAATCAAGCCAAAAGGAGTATCACATTTAGAGTTACTATGATTAAAAGATAAGGCAGGCTGTTTTGCGAGTTGACAATGTAAACAATCAAAAGACTCAAATTTGGAAAGACCTAAAGTTCCACTAGAAACTAAAGGACGAAGTTTACTAGCGGATGCATGACCAAGACGAAGATGCCACTGGTATATTAATGGAATGGTGGTGGAAGCAGAAATCGATCTGGGAGCAGAAACTTTAAGAGATGTGAGCTCAAATAATCGTCCCACCTTGCGCCCCGTGCCAATTATCTGTCCCGTTTGAAGATCCTGAACCTGACAACCATGGGGAGAGAAAAGAACAGTTAGACCAAGATCACATAATTGACCAACCGAGGCTAAGTTTAGGGATAATTTAGGGACACAATAAGTATCAGGAAGGTTTAGATTAGAGGTAGCTGCTGTTCCAATATGGGTAATAGACATACAATTACCATCAGCAGTTTGAATGGGTGGCAGAAATTTGCTAGAAGTTTTATTAGATAAGAGAGACATTTGAGAAGTCATATGATTGCAACAAGCAGAGTCAAGAAACCAAGAATCACCTGCAGTGACAGCTAATGCAGTGGAAGATGAAGGATTGGAGGATATCACCTGTTTGAGAAGAGCTTCGAGATCGCTAACAGTAAGAACAGAGGAAGGGGACTCATCAGAAGGAGCAGTAACAGCAGCAGCAGAAGAACTAGCCTTAGAGAAAAACTTAGATTTTGTTGAAGTGCCTTGAGGACGAGGTGGACGGGTTGGACAATTTTCCAAAATATGACCATGTTTGTGACAGTATCTGCACTCAATAGTAGGGCAATTTGCAAATGTATGTCCAGTATTTCTACAATTCTTGCACAAAAATGAGCCAGATGCAGAACGTGGCCGAGTGATAGCAAGAGCAACTTCCGGTGAGGGAGATTTGATCAAACCAAGACGTGTTTCCTCAAATAAGATTTCTTTAACAGCAGCATCCAAAGAGGGTAAAGGATCACGATGCAACAGAGCAGCACGAACAGATTCATATTCAGGACGTAGAGCCATGAGAACCTGAATAAGGCGAAGATGATCATCACTGATATTAGCTTGTGCTAATTGATTCCATATAGGCTGAATGACAGCAAGGAAGTCATTAACAGATTGTCCGGAGTCTTGTTTAAGACTGGCAAGAGTTGTGAGCAGTTGATAATAGTGTGCAAGACCTGTAGTTTTGTACCGATTGGACAAGAAATCCCAAATTTCTTTTGCAGTATCAAAATCAGCAAACTGGATATGAATGGCTGAAATAGAGGTGTTACATAACCAGGTAATTATCTGATGATTTTTGCTATCCCAATCTTCAAGACGTTCTGCATACTTGGTATTGTTTTCATCAGCATCTCGGACTGGTTCAACAACATCGCCAGTAATAATACGCCAAAGCTTGCGTCCAATTAAGAAGCTTTTCATTCGTTGAGACCATAGAGTATAATTAGAGCCATCCAAAATAACAGTAATAGGACGAAAGATTTCAGATTTCTCCATATCAACAAACCCCAAAGAAGAACCAAACATAAGAGAACTAAAACCCACAAAAGTCACACTTTTATGTATGACAGTTGAGAAGGAGAGCAGATCTGATCGGTTCTGGGCGACGGGAAGCGAGGATCTGACCGGAGGAGGCGACGGAAGGCGCGGATCTGGACGGAAAAGTTCGCTGGCGACCGGTTGAGCGGCGAAGCCCTGTCTGGAGGAGGAAGCTCGGTTCTTGGCGGCGGATCTGGTCGGCGCAGGGGCTGCTGGAAGCGTGGCCCGTCGGAGGAGGTGAGGGTGGCGCTGTTCTTGAGTCTGGAGCTCGGCTTGGAGGAGGTTGCTGACGAGCGGATCACGAGAGCAGAGGCGGGATCGGGTTCGAGCTCGGTGGTGGTCGAACGGAGGTCTCGGCGGTCGGGCGGCGGTTCGCCGGCGACGCGAAGAGGGCACGAGAGGAGAGAGAGAAGATAGAGGTTGGTGATCTGATTTAAGAGCAGTGCTCTGATACCATGTTAGATATATTGAAAATATCTTCCCTTTCTTGTTATATTACAATGAGATTACATGTCTATATATACATACATCAACCAGCTATAAAGGAAAGAAATAAAAAGGAAGAAAATCAATGGGAAATCAATGGGCAATCCCAAATATATTGCACAATCAATGGGGAATCAATGGGCAATCCCAAATATATTGCATAATCAATGGGAAATCAATGGGCAATCCCAAATATACATTAACAATTTTGAACTAAATACTTTTCTAATCTGCCGTTATCTACTTAATTTATACCCAGGAGTCTATATGTTTTGATCCCCTTGCCTCAACTAATGACATTTTTTAAGCCAATGTTATTTTGTATCACTTTGATTCAATAGTAACAGCTTCCGTGAGAAACTTAAATAGGATATAATAATTAACTTCATTAGTAATTCACCTTTGACGAATGTGTTTGATCAGTAAATCATCTTTGAGGACTGCATTTGACGAATATGTACTGTGTTCTGTATAACTTATTAATTCGTGAATTATCTTAGACTTATATCAGTTTTTGCAATAATATTTTTATAGCTTATTTATACTAACATAGATGTGAACAATATTTTTTTAATCTTGCATAAATATGTATTGTGTCAGGCACGCATTGTGTGTAGTGAAGTACTTATTTACATTAAGGTAAGCCTTCATACTTGCTTATACTATGATACAAGTTGTTTTTCAAATTGCAAAGGTTTTCTTGTTTGGTGAACACACACAGCATATCGACATGGATTATTATTATTTTTTACAAAAGAAATTCAGATGATGGATTGGTTGAGCTACAATAAATTCCCTTCAAAGATCAAATTGTTGATCTTTTTTTACCAAGGATTTGACAGACAATTGATTAAAGTATTTTCTATACAAACTCATGGTCCTGGCATTTGACCCTCCACGCATTTGAATGCCCCCTTAAATTAAATAAAAAGAATATCGTCCACGCATTTGAATGCCCCCCTTTAATTAAATAAAAAGAATATCCCCAAAAGTCCCCCAATCAATTGAACAAAAAAAATCATAAACAAGGTCTTCTACAGAAATCATACAAGAAATAAGGAGAACATGCTAAGGATAAACTACACCAAGCCCCTGGAACTTTCAGCATATGGGAGTAAGACCCCAATAACTTTCAAAATCGCACTATACCCCCAATAACTCTTAGCAAACCAACCCCCACCACCCACCCACGCCCCACAATAATTTGTGTACAAGTACACTAAATCCTCAACACCTACGGAAACTTATTGCGGGGTTTTCTTTAATTCCAAAAAGGCATTGGGGGTTTTGTGCGTTTTTTAAAGTCATTGGGGTTACTTATAGTGCAAATTGTTGAAAGTTCTTGGGAATTTAGTGTAATTTACACATTCGTCTAGTTACCAATTTTAAATCAGTGTACTCAGCTCACGATGCCAATGCAATCAATAAACACAATAAACATACAGTGAGAGCGAAAACCAAAGTGACAAAAATAAAGAGGGGAATTGCTAGTAACCTGACCTGGGGTTTCTTTATCAAGAACGGCCGCCATTACCCGCTCCGACTTCTCCTGAGCCGGGCCCCACTCGGTCCAGGCGTTCTCCCCATAGTGCAAATCGGCGAAAAGAGCGATCTTGAACCTTGAATCGCCGGAGAACTGCAGCGACTTACCGGTGGTCTGACGGAGCACCGGAACCTCGACGCATCTTCCGTCGCCGGCAAGGAAATGGAGGGCTGCGATGATGCTGATGATGAGGATCGGCATTGGTTGGGCCTTGAGAAGCTCATCTGATGCTTAAAGCTGAGATTTTTTTTTCCCCAGTAAAAAAGGGGGAAAGTTTGGTGTATTTCTGTTGGATTTTTTGAATTTGGTTGGAATATTCTCTTTTAGGGTGACGTCAGCGGATAGCTGTGCCTTCCGGGATCTAGGCTTCAAATGGAACTCCGAGGGTGTGGTTCGCAATCTGTCACAAACGGGGCCAGGAATTTTGTCTTGAACGCGTTTTAGTTTGGACTACGAACTAAAATCAATTTAGTGGGCACTTGACCACCTTTGGCCCAGTTTTTCATCAAACAAAAAAAGTAGTTAAAAATTAGGTCAGGTCCGGTCCTAGTCCTAGTCTAGTTTTAGAAATTTGACAAACGCACCCAAAGAGCGTGAGGAAATTTTTAGAAAACACGTTGATTTTAGGGTTATTATACAACACCTCCTTGAGCTTTAAATAAAAAATTGGGTAACTACATCTTAGTCCCTTATAATATAATCCTTAATTGCCAAATGATCCCTCAAATCTCATTATTTACTCTCACTCCCTTTAATCTTCAATTTCCTTGCAAATTTGTCTCTCTGTTAGGTATTCTATTAATATTGTTAACTTTAGCTAGGTTAAGCCTTAACCCAACATGGAAAATTACTCAAATGACCTCTAAGAGGGGAATTTTACTATTGGAATAGCTCAAAATTGGGTTTGAAAAGGTTCTAACCGTTGACGAAGGTCTTGATGGGCTTACATTGTTGTATCGTTTGTGGGTTTAAACTAGGGGTGCCAAACTGTATCCATATCCGAGGAAATATCCGTAACCGTATCCGTTAGGATACGAATATGGTTACTCAAATCTATTACCGATAGGATATGGTTGCGGATATGGTTTTATAGTAAAATATCTGTATCCGTATCCGAAAATATCTGAATACATATTGGTAATACTCTTACGATAGTTTCGATTCTTAGATTATGGATTTGTGGTTAATTTTGATGATCAAGATGTCTAATCTTAGCTTTTCAATCATAATGAACATATTAATGAACTCTTTTTGTATCACATGACTATATTTTTCTGAATACTATCTAGTTTTCTCATATCCTTTTTGTATCTGCATGCATATCCGTTTATATATCTACATCTATATCCGTAACCGTATCCGATTTTGGCGGATATGGATATGAATTTTTTTTACCGACGTATATCCGTATCCGTATCCGTATCCGAGATGGGTAAGCGGATATGGATATGATAAGTGTCATATCCGAGCCGTATCCGCTCCGTTAACACCCCTACTTTAAACCCATCAAACAGGTTGGTGAAATTATAAATTTTATTGTCATTTAGGAGTAGGGATATAATGGGAAATCAGATCATTTTCATTTGACTTAACAGATGTTCACTATAATAATTAATGTCACACAATAAGAGGGACAATTTTACAATAAAATTGAAGAAGTAAGGGGCTAATAAGCTAATCTAATGGACTTGTTTGCAACTAATGAAGATGTATGGGACTAATATGTAATTACCCAAATAAGAATTAGATGACGCCCTAAACTTTTGGATTTTTTGCTTGAACTTAATTTAAACTTAATTTAGGGTCTAGGGCCTGCTGGGAAACAGTAGATGGTAGGGGTGAGCAAAAACCGAAAAAAACCGGTTCAACCGAAAAAACCGCCCGAAAAAGCGGGCCGGTTAACCGAACCGAATTAAATGGATGGGAAAAAGACTCTAAACCATCCGAACCGAATTAAACCGGTATGGATCCGGTTTGAACCCCTGAACCGCCCGAAAAAAACCGAACCGAATTCTCTAATATAAATATTGAAAAATCTCTAACCCTAACTCAATTTCTCACAACCCGAAAAAAGTTTCATCAGCACAGGACTCTTTTTTCCAGCATTCTGTATTTGCATATACCTCATCTTCATCAAATCTCTTGCCCTCTAAATTCTTGAGGGTTGGCGTGTTACTATATCTGGTTATATTTAATTGTTCATAGTTTTCAGCACTTAACTAAAGACACTGATCGTATGTTATTCTTTCTAATATTTTTGTTCATTGCTTGTCCAGGGAGTAGAATCATTCTTAGCTCTGCCTGTAATTTTTTATTCACCATAAGATAAACCTCTGTTCTTGCATCTGAAATTTGCTCATCTTAATTGCATTGAGGTTTTTAGAAATCTCTTTCAGAGTGGCCATAATTAGTCATCAGGCTGTTGTTTCTATAGCTTGGCCATAATTGTATTGAGATTTTTGTGAAATAGAATTAATTCGGTCCAAAACCGAAACCGATCCAAACCGATCCGAATTTCGGTTGGGCCGAATATTCGGATGAAGGGGAAAAAATCTGGATCTGGATGAGAGTTTTGAGAATCCAAAAAATTCGGATTGGATGCGGATTGAGCTTAAAACCGAACCGAACCGAATATGCCCAGCCCTAGTAGATGGAAAACAGGGAAAAAGCTAAATACGGTTTTCTTGACGAAAGAGAGTTAAAAAAAAGGAACTATAGCAATTTGTAGAACTTTTCGAAAGTTCAGAAAGATTTTGTGGAACTCCACAAACTTTAGGAGGTTTTCCTCACGTTTAGAAGGTATGGAGGATTTTGTTTAAATTAGTCTAAACTTCATGGGGCTCCCATAAATTTACCCTAAAATTTACTTCATACTCCTTTTAAAAGCACGAGTTCCGAAAAAAACTTTTGGTAGACAAAAACACACTTAACCCTTCTTTAAATATCAAGAATATTTAATTATTATACACTATCTAAAAGTTTAAACTAATATATCTATCCTTAATATGTGATATTATATAATTAGCTAGGATATTATACTTTTTAAGTTTGAAATATTATACACTATCTAAAAGTTTAAACTAATATATCTATCCTTAATATGTGATATTATATAATTAGCTAGGATATTATACTTTTTAAGTTTGAAATATTATACACTATCTAAAAGTTTAAACTAATATATCTATCTGATTATTTGTCTAAATCACTTCTAAAAGGTGAAGTTTGATTACGTTGTAGACAGACACCTTAAGAGACTTGGTTCTTAAGGAAACTGAAGGTTCGCTATTATGCTAGACGCACTAAATTATTGTAAATTAGAAGAAAAAGAACGATTGTAGATTTTTATGACATTAAATAATTTAAATCAAAAGAAACAATTGCACTCACTCAATTCTTTTTTTTTTTAATCACGCTTTTAACGCACATGGGAATAAAACCCAATAATTAACACACACACATATTTATATAATGGGTATCCTTGTCATAGGAAGGGATTTCCTCCTTAAAAATGATGTGGCACAATCCCCACCATGTGATATTCTCTCATTTTCAAGGAGGAAATCCTCTCATTGACAA